TATTAAATCCGTGGAACGTACCAGTCAAGTAAAGTACAGCTTGAATGATTCTAACAAAAAAGATTTTGTACAACTATATGATATTTAAATTAATAACCGACAAGTTAACCCATCTAGGGTTATAGATTGCATCCTCTTGTGACTCGGCCATCACAGTAAATATAGATCCAGGCAAGAAGCTCGCAAGGAAAACTATATAACGTCGTATTTAGAGCCCGAAGAGCAACGTATACTGGCGAGGTTCATTGACTACTAACCAGAAATAGAATTGAGAGACCGAGAATAGCATCCATGACCATTTGCCGAGACGCCTGATGGCAACAATAATATTTATGCTATTCAATATGTCATGGACGATCACGACTTGAATGTTGGCCCTCGGACTGATAAGTAAAACAAGAAAAAGAAAGTAAACGCCAAAGGAGACCCTTTGGTGGCAGCGACTAGGCTTGAACCCACCCTAGTAGAGGCCTACTGCATTATTGAAGGAACGTAGTTTGACATGAATTATAGCGTATGTGATAAAGATCGTCGTATTCCAAGGTGATTATTTACTTGGCTATGGCGATTTTCATTACACTATCTATAAACGCATATCGGGCGTGAATCAGTCGACCGCCTGGGTTATCGCTGTTGCGAGCATCTCCACCGAGCGCTCGGTCGAGCGTTGGCCGGGTCTTAATATCCCTACATGGGGGCATCTGACGAGCTACTTGCTCGCCAATTTTGGACCAGTCCGCCCGCTCGTACAATATCCCCGCTTTGGTTCGACTTAGTTTGAGGCTGCAAATTTCATTCCGAGTAGGTGGCGTGGTGGTCAGATCCGTAGTTCTCGTGGTCAGATGGTATTCGACGAGCAGGCCCAGGCTGTCTGTCACTCTTTGATCAATGGCTGAGTTTTGCCCCGGGTTGTTCAAGGCCCAGTGAGTTTCCGTGCCTCGGGGGAGACAGATTTGGAGGTTGTGAGCCTAGAAAGTGTCGATTAGGTCGCTGGCCTCGGCGCGATGTGATTGCCGCCCTACATCAGATAGGGTCGGTTGAAGTCGCCGGAAACAATAATACTGGTCGACCGCTGCGTATTTTGTGTAGCAGCTGCGATAGAGCTCGTAGTTATTATATTCCTCTACCTAGATATATAAATTCACAGTAATTTGAATATTATATGGATATTGTTATTACGTTAATTTATATATCACGTATATCCTATATGTACAATGGATAAATTTTATCAGGACTGCTTCGGGTGTTGGTTCACTCCTTCACGAACCCCAACAGAATAATTAGCCCCTAATTAATTTGAAATTATTCCACCCTTTGAATTCGTAACTATAATGAACAACTCATTTTCCACCGTCGACCAACGTTTTCGAACCGCCTGCGAAGTCGCTAAGATTCAGAAGGAGCCCAATGCCACGGCATGGGCGCGGGAAAGCCCTAAGAGAGCTTATATTCGCTTATATTCGCTGGATTGAACTGCTCGATCGCCTGTATAAGAGCCAGTGCGAATGCATTTTGCCAAAGCAATACTAGTGCAGACCCTCGGCCACTCAGTAAAACCTAGGTACAATATTGTTTCATCAAATAACCTTCCTGTGAAAGAAAAAAATGAGTTGATGATACTTTACTCCGCGTTAAATGTTTTGCTAACCTACAACCTTCTCAATAGGACAACGTACTCTTGAATATTTGTAATAAATACCTAATTTCATTGAACATGGCTTTTTATTCCGATTTCTGCCAAAATATCAATCTATAGCCAATCAATACCGCTTGATTATCTACACAGTGCGTTCAATAGCTACTACTATGTCCAATTTGTGCACTTTATTAGCCAACGAAGTCGATTTGAGAATTAAATTCTCCTTGAATGACATGTTTCTAGCTAACAACGTCGCCTCTGTTATTGTCAGTATGAATCAGAGTAACACGAGGGCAATCAGTTTCTTTTAATATCGTCTGCTATTTTTTAGCCGTCCCCTCGAGTCGGACCCACAGCATTTTCAGTTGTTGGTCCTCCACACTGATACGAAAACTCCCACCGATACGAAAACTTTCTCTCTTTATTCATCTTCTTCATTATATACTCAATATGCCAAAATTCGACGAAAATATCGAAAATCGCCTTAATAAGGCCTGCGAAGCAGCGAAATGCGAAAATAAAACCCAAAAATCGCTGAATTTGCGCGTAAATTCGACGTTCCTTACGGTCGCCTTCGCGCCAGAATTCATGGTCGTCCACCAAGAACTGCCACCACTCCCACCAACAAAGCACTTGACGATTCGCAAGAAAAAGCAGTTATTTGCTGGATTCGACATCTTGTTTCGCTACAAGTTTCGCCTACAATTAGTATGATTGAGGACTGCGCAAATCAGATTTTAAAACGGAACGCTGCGGATGACGCGTCGCTACGCATTTCGAAGAACTAGGCATATCGCTTTATCGGACGCCTCCCACCAGACCTACAGCTGGTAAAACAAAAACTAATCGAGAGAAGCCGTCTACAAGCAGAGGATATTGGGTATTTAGCAGCTTGGTTCGATCATCTAGAGCCGTACATAGCTGAAATTGGGGCAAAAAACATCTAGAATTTTGATGAAACTGGTTTCCAACTTGGTCAAGGTAAAGCACAAAAGGTCGTTACAGCCAACCCACAGCGAGCACAACGAGGCAATCCTTCGATAGAGAAAGGCGAATCCCTTACGTCTATCGAATATATCGCTGCTGCCGGCTTCGTTCTCCCTCTTTATCTCGTTTTTCGCGGCGAATATCATCTCGAACGATGGTATACAACGACTTCGCTCCTAGACGATTATCGCATTGCTATAAGCCTAAAAGGATATTCAAATAAAAAAGAATCGCATACGACTGGCTTCCACAGTTTCAAATTCATACTGCCTATAGCGCGAAGGGTCAAAAACGGCTACTTTTGATAGATAATTACGGATCGCATTTAACGTACGAATTTATCAATTTTTGTTAACAATTCGATATTGTTCCGATCTATTTTATCCCTCATACTACGTATTTTGCTTAGCCGCTCGATGGAACATCCTTTCAAGCATTAAAACACTATTTACGAAGTCGAAATAGTGATCTATCGAGATGGGGTGGTAGCGTAGATAATAAAGCAGATTTTCTTCGAGAACTACTCCGAATTCGACAGCAAGCCTTTACCCCTCGGACGATTCGAGATGATTTTAAGGATCGAGGTATTTATCCATTCAATCCTCAGAAAGTCTTCGATAGACTCCCAAAATTGGACTCGGCAATTATCGAAGGTCTACAGCCTTCGATGATCAGAATACAACTCCCCACCTCCCTCTAGTTTAACAAACTCGCCTCCTTCATCAATTCGTCGTGTACGGCGAAGTATTGATAAAGCAAAGGGTCAAATCGATGAGAGTCCGCGGCTAAATGATAGCTGTCGATGTCGCCTTGATCGCCTCCTCAAAACCTCTATCGAAGCTACTGAACTCGCCTCGCATTCGTAGTCCGTTCTCGCCCAATATCTTCGTCAAATCCAACCCAAAAAAGTACCCAAAAGTCGAATAAGAATCCCTATATTAGGACCTCTCTCAGTGAAAGATGCGAATCATCGAATTGCGGACCGTACGACGAAAGAGATACACCAGAATATTCCACGAGCGAGAAAGCAGGCAGTTTCGCAGTCACCCCACATCCCACGAGATCGGAATGGGGATATATTGGTATCAGAAGAAGGCGAATTGACTACTGGGGACCCTCCGCTATTTTATTTTTGATTCAGTTGGTGAAATAGTTTAATAATTGATGAATAAAAAGAAAAATTTTCGTATCAGTGGGAATTTTCGTATCGGTGTGGAGGACTAACAGCTGAAAATGCTGTGGGTCTGACTCGAGGGGACGGCTACACTCATTGAGTGATTATTTAGCCCCATTGCCAAGAAGCACTAGACCGCATTAGAAATAGACCCGGAATATCAATATTCCTGTACCAGTCTCAATACCGTTATTTACTTTTATTAAAATACGGTTCCTCGTCTCGTAACTATATTGGCGATCCAAGGGTACTAGAATTTTCCATGGAAAATGTAAACTAGTTAAACACAAGAGCTGGAGAGGCTCGAGAATCTGGCGAGCGTCACTTCCCTTCCGGTCCTATGTCCAAATGACGGTCTTCGGGGGCTTACTCGGCACCCGACCTGCAAATAGTGACTTGCATTACTTGCTTACTGTACTTACAGACTACTCATGAACCCGTTTATCATAATATTCTTCTTCACGCCCTGGAACACACTTGGTGGAAGCTGACACACAACCATGTTAATAGACTCCTTAGGAGCATCTTCTACCTTGGAGGGATGACTTACACTACTTTCAACGATGATGATGACGATGATGCTTACCGACCTGAACTGCCCGATCTATGGGAACGGAGTTGTATGCCCCAACCCCCGGTTACCCGGACCGCGAATGGACGCCATCAGTAATCTGCCCTTCACTCGATCCCGAGGATATAGTTGGTGAATATTCATCTTCCTTACGTCAACATCTATCCGACCAGCAGAATTTTGATCCTGTGGTCGAACGTGCAGATGGAAGTGCATGGGATGAACAATCTCCGGACTGTATCCACTACCAGATCGAGTAGAGGCTTAAATTGAACAATCAAGTTGTGGTCAAGGATAGAGAAAAAGACCTTATTCAACCACATAGATCCTACCGGGAACAGGTAAAAAGGGGTGCATGTAATATCCTAGGACAGAAGACAGCCCGTGGCCGACGGGTGAGACTCGATGATACTGATATGGTATTATCGGTGAACTCCCAACGGAACATCGACAAACACCTTGAAGGTACTAGCGTTGATTGGACAGCGATGAAGAAACAGCTACTAGCGTGGGCCTACCTATTCCGTCGTGGCAAGAACATCCGGCTCCAGGCATCGATGAACTAAGAGGACAGTGCACCTCTTCCTTCTAGAACGGACGAGTGAGGAAAGTCATCGGTGACTACACAGATGCTCGCTGATCGAGACGCTCGGATCGACGCGGAGCAGGTCTCCGGCCAATATTCCGTCTGGCGCGATGTGCTTCGTGTTATGCGATGTCCCAGGCCTCCATGTCGCTACGAAGGACAATACTACTGGCAAGATCCAGAGGGGAAGAGGCACCATAGGTTGAAAACACACTATCTGAAGACCCTCGTCAAATATGTGGAGCAAGCTGGGGTTCTCGAGACCCACGCTGATGTCCCTGATAGTGTTCACGAGCAGCTCTATGCCGAAAACCAGCGACTAAACAAAAAAAAGAAAGCTGCGGAGAACTCTACATCGGGTTCTGTGTGTCCTCCAGTCTATATCAATGTCCTCCCGGCTAGATCATCTCAACCGTCTATACAGCCCTCTGCAAATGATGCTATGCGCACTAGGCCCGGCTGTACTGAATCTATTGTGATCGACGGCCTGCTAGATAACTCTGTGGACGAGTATACTGAATAGCAGTAATCGCGCGTTAGTAACGAGGGAGAACATCAACAAAGCACGCGATGTGATCCTCGGAAATTGTTTCGAACTTATATAGATTTATGAGGATCAAGACCTATGTTTCTTTGTTAAGCACGGCGTCAAAGTAGGTGCCGCCCGGCAGTTCGTTCGCGACATCGACATTTGGGTAAAACGACGCAAAGAAGCGACTTGCAACGGAAATATTCATTTAGTCTGGATATTTTTTATACTGTGATTAGAGAACAGCCTACACTGGCATGCTGCATTTATCCCTTTGTATGGGTTTGGAATGAACTGTAATTTCTTTCGGCGATTATACTGCTATAATAAAACAGGTAAGCTCGCTCTAAACCTTTCCTAATATACTGTTACTGTATCACGGTAGAGAGGATATTGTCGGATCTTAATTTGGCATCATGTATGTCACTATTTTGAGCAGACTTTGCCCGCCATTTAATGAGGTCAATATTGTTTCAGGTTCCGTCCCCACTAGAAGTGAGACCAGTTGGGTGGGGCCAGTCCCCGCATCAATTTTTGGAGGTATCAGATTAATCAAGCAGCCCGGCTTACAGTACACCTGACTTCGCACCATGACCGAATTTCTATCCAAAGTGAAAGGATCCCTTCGAAGGCACCTCAGGGATCTCAAATTGTCCAACAGTGAACCGATTCAGTTCCAGCCCCTCAAGAGAATCTTTCAGTTTCCCGAATACGGATGTGAAGGAGGCATCGGAGCAGCGGTGCAGGGCACTGTTGCCATAGCTCGAATATCTCGGGGAATCATACCACCCTGGCGATCTAAACGCCATTACCCTTTGCACAAAGCAATTGTAATTCAAATTCGGAAAAGGAGTCTCCGGCTTCGGTGAAAGGAGATTGCTTGACTGCATCTGCAAAGTAAGAGCCCCATACATGATTGAGCGACATTCAAAACAGCAGCCTAGAGAACGATGCAAAAAAGCATCTCGTGTTTCATAGAGTTGAACCATCAAGTCGTTGATGGCCTTTTCTCTACATCTGTTCATTGAATCTGCAATTCCATTAGTTTCTCAATACTTGAGAAAATCCGTTACCCTCACCTATGATATTGTCTGGAACCGGAAGTCCCAGGGTATCGATCAAACCTTTGCTCTGGGACATAGCAATAGACGTTGATGATTTGAATTGGGAGGGGAGTTGAAAAAACCAGGCGATCCATAGCCATAAAATCAAATCCCGAGAAGCCGTTGTAGGAACATCCTCTTCTGCGTTCGTGATCCACATATCTTTCAGGAAGTGCAAAGCCTCCTTGCAGTCATAGTAATCTGCTATAACAGCAACTTTGGCGAGCATTTCCACGGTCAGTCTTCTGGGTATAAGATAGTATTGACCATGAATAGCCCGAAGAAGAATCATGAGTGCTTCAATATCCCAGCTTTCTGCAGTGACCTCAACTGAACCTTTTTGAAAGTAGGTTATGCTTTCTTTCCAGCCACCGGTCAATATTTTTTTAAAAACTGAAGAGGCAAGCATCAAATGTTTCGCAGACACTTGAATACGTAAGCAACTGCTGACCGCTGATTTAGCAAAATCCTCTTCAGCGGGCGCAGCGGCGGGGTGTTCTTCAGCAGCAGCCTCGTCAACAGCAGGCGCAGCGGCGTATTCTTCAGCAGCAGCCTCGTCAACAGCAGGCGCAGCGGCGTATTCTTCAGCAGCAGCCTCGTCAACAGCAGGCGCAGTGGCGTATTCTTCAGCAGCAGCCTCTTCAACAGCAGGCGCAGTGGCGTATTCTTCAGCAGCAGCCTCGTCAACAGCAGGCGCAGTGGCGTATTCTTCAGCAGCAGCCTCGTCAACAGCAGGCGCAGCGGCGTATTCTTCAGCAGCAGCCTCGTCAACAGCAGGCGCAGTGGCGTATTCTTCAGCAGCAGCCTCGTCAACAGCAGGCGCAGTGGCGTATTCTTCAGCAGCAGCCTCGTCAACAGCAGGCGCAGTGGCGTATTCTTCAGCAGCAGCCTCGTCAACAGCAGGCGCAGCGGCGTATTCTTCAGCAGCAGCCTCGTCAACAGCAGGCGCAGTGGCGTATTCTTCAGCAGCAGCCTCTTCAACAGCAGGCGCAGTGGCGTATTCTTCAGCAGCAGCCTCGTCAACAGCAGGCGCAGTGGCGTATTCTTCAGCAGCAGCCTCGTCAACAGCGGGCATATCGGCGGGGTGTTCTTCAGCAGCAGCCTCTTCAAAAATGAGCTCTTCATTTAGCAAAAGGAACTCAAGAGCACTCGGATTCACGCCAGACTTACTTTTCTTTTCCTTCTTCCTTTTCCTCCTCTTTTCCTTCGGACTCAGCTCAGGCTCTTGAATAGGCTCTTGAATAGGTTCTTGAATAGGCTCTTGAATAGCGAATCTCGACACATCGGTCACCCCATGAGAACTTTGGACATTACCAAACAACCACGGAAAGGTGTTGGAGTCCGTACCAGTAGATAGGTTTTCATCCACTTGTGCAAACGGACTGTTCGCATTGCGCAATATGATGATCACTTCACCATCTGGATCTAGAGTATGAGTCGGCGAGTTCATACTGATTCACGAATAGGTTCGCCCGAAGTTGAAATATTCGCTTGAGATGGGTGAACGGGAAATGGACTGAGATGGTGCAATTGCACACCCTTAACCCTTGACTGCTGGTAGAGATGGGATAGGGAATGCAGACCAGGGCGGATCGACAGATCGCGGCCCAACTTTTCGGGTAGTAAACTATCTATTTGTACGCTGACTCACCAGATCTCCTGTATCAAGGGAGATAGTTTTGTATGGTGGGGCATAGAGGTGCGAGATGTATTAATATTAGCGAGTACTGTATATGTCTGTTATTATTTGTGAGAAACAGTACAAGACGTACTGGCAGGGATACTTTGGAAAAACCCCCAATACGTACTAGTGTGAATTAGTAATTAGAGTTCGAGAAACAATCAAAGAGTGAGGGTGGTTGCACAGGTTTCGAGACGGACTGACCATGGAAGCAGTTTGGTCGAGTGCTCGGCAACTGTACCATCAACACTGATGAGAACCAGTTCGATTCATCCCTCGTTCAACTTAGGGCTGTACATATGTACTAGATTATTCTTTATTCTTTAATGTATATTCTATTACGGAAGCCATCCATTGAGTATCTCTGTATTCACATTATATGTTGATCCTAATGTCCTTGCTGGGTCTAATAAATTTCCCGATCAGCCAGTGTCAGAAAAAATTACTACAATAAGCACAATATTCTACCACCGGAACATCATGTGTGTAGCACATAGCAAGCTGAGGCTTTGTCACCGAATATTAACCCACGTAGTACATGGAGGTTATTGGGCTACAGTCGTTGTTTCCTGTACGAAACAGTTGGCACTGGATCACAAGCCGATCCACCGCTAATGCTGCATCACTCACTATGTGACTGATGGCCAATCACTTAGCGCCGTCAGCACCAGAAAGTCCACAAGTGTTCCTAGTACCAGTCCAAGCACATTTGGGATCAAGAGCTCCGAGCACAGTCTTTACGCGCCTATCCCAATTTCAAGAGCACCCCTAGCCAATCAATTCGCGCCGTAACTGCATCCATCGATGACCAAGGCCAATCGAAATACACGACCAACGGTGGGCGGTAAAATTCTGGGAAGCGGATGGTCATTGGCGGGTTATATGGTTTGAGAGTGCCCCACTTCAGGTTGACTAAAATTCGATATAAAGGCTCCGAGAACCGGTGCAAGCCAAAGGCGGTCATTTTACATCTCACTTTCTTACCAGACTATCCTTCATTATTCCCCACAATTTGATCGCACAGCCCTTTATATCGCATACTGGCCATCGGCATGACTATTCGGGTCATCACGCCTCCTGTTTGGCCGTCTCCTGACGATAGCCTCGAAAATATAGTGCGCGACATGGTATCCAAAGCGACAGCGGCGGAGGCTTGCATGGAGAACAGCCAGAGACTATTGAAAGACCTTGGTTGTAACCCGAGTCCTGATGAGTGTATTGGCCTGTTACAAAACACAAGTCTCTCCATCGACCAAATCGTTCCCAGGTTCTCCCCACAATCTGACGACGAAGTTATTCGCGAAAGCTGGTCGGCAATCGAAAAAGTCAGAGCAAGGCTGCAATCGGACATCCGAAAGCTCCAATGCCTAAAAAAAGCCCCGGCCGATCAATTGAACTTGATGAGAACAAACAAGGAAATTCGGGGTTAAAATATGTGAGCCACGGTATACCTCAAGGATGGAAAGACAAAGACCATGAAATTAATTGACGTCGCAGGAATAACCTAATGCCATCTCAAATGTTGCGATCCAAGATCAAAATCACGGGTGGCTCGGTACTAAATGGTTTGTTTGACTGCTGCAAGTGCGAGAAGATGGAGAGATATTGATGCTTTTCTTTCCCGACGTTCTCTAGATGAATTTATTCAGCTTCAGTACCTGTCTCCTATACATTATCGCCGGAGTAGTATAGTAATTCGGGTCGATTTAATATTTCCGTGCGTTTTAATCCATTCATTTGGAATCACAGGTTCTGACGCATATAAAGTAATCTTATAAATACCAGAAACACTGCCTTCACATTATAAGTCGTTCATTCTTTGCAGAGGGTGTATGTTGTATTTCCTTTCTTAATTATCAGAAAACTCCTCATCCCCACAATTAGCCTAGTCACCAGCAATTTCTGTTACCTTGCTACTGAGAGATCTCGAAGTACAAAACTGTAGAAGTTGACCCTGAATGATGTCAAACTCTCCAATGACATGAGTCCATCTCGAGTCAGTTATTGACCACCATTACCATTCTCTTCTGCCAGGAGTGAGCAGATTCATCAACAACAAACCTGCTTTTACATATCCTTGTACTCCAAGTCATAAGTCGATCATACTCGACATCGCCTCCTTTGTTACAGGGTCTTAGTTCTTGCCATATTTCCTTACCATAGTCCACGATTAACTGCTTCCGTTAATCGCTTCCCTGGTGATTGCCGTAACGTAACAGGAGTTCCGCAACCAAGGGATATGACATCTTCGTGAGCGACTAAAGTTATATAGTGTTGGGCAAATTACCCGCCGACCATGCATGGGATCTGCTGAAGTCTCTTTCGTCGTATCGAGAGAAGGATGGCACAGTAAGACAGCCAACTTTACAGATGGTGCAGAATATTACCACGAGCAGAATAAATGGCCGATATTATTCGTTTGACGTAGCTTCGGAGGACTGGTCTGTAAAGATGTAGGTTCTCTTACCTTGGTTTTGGAATCTACTATTGATCACCACAGGTATTGTTCCCGTCGAGCTACCCGGAGGCAACCTTCTTAAGCATTTATCGTTACAGTCACAGTATTGCCTCTCTTGGAACGTCGCTCCTTACGACTGGTGGTACTAGCATTGAAACTGGTCTTACTAGCTGCGTGACGTTCATGACTCGCTCCGCCGGTACCTGGAAACAGGAATATCTTGAAAGTCTCGACGCTCTCAAGCGCAAATTCTCTACGGTGCTTGCGTAAGCCTCAGATCTAACAACATGTGCAAGAAACGCATCACTCAAAAATTACCACCCATAGACTTCGCTTGTTTCTAATAGGAGTTACCCCTGGAAGAACTTGGTTTGGTAGGTTTGTCAAATGGAGGCTACTGCCCAAACTGACGCCTGGATAGATCATGACAAGCGATTTGGCCGCCCATCCGGCATATGTCTCGATCGGAATCAACAGAAACCACATGGATATGACCGATTTACCAATGCCGATGACCCTGGGTTTAGGGCTGTATGTGGAGAGTTCAGTCGATGGATTAGGAACGTGGAGGCAAGCAAGACGATCCAGGTGCACCAGGACGGCAATAATAGCAGCTGGCATGACTTAAACGTGGGCTCATAGATATCTGTGGCTGAAAGCAAATAATTGTGGACAGCAGCGCTTTTGTGGTGAGAGGGGATCAGTATTTCTATTAAGAATAGGGTGCCGCCCGGAGGTTGTAGAAATGAAGGCAACAGGGAATTTGTCTTCGATATAGGCAGGAGGAAGATTGATGCCTGCACTTTCCAAGTTCGGAAAGAATTGCTAGAGATCATTGTTGAGCTGCAGACCAATTGGCGACTACAGCATGTGAGACTCTGTATCTAGTTCAGCGTCCCTTCTAATTTGAGGTGGTCCAACCTTGTTGTCCCTGACGATATTGAAATTGTTAAGAATAACAGGAGAACATGGGCTGGTGACAGTACAGAGTGACGAAGAGGGTTTTTTGAGGGATTAAGACCTGACCATTGGATACATATTAAATGTCCATTACTAGACTGTTCCGCATCAGCTGTATCTCTGGCGATACCGAAGATCTCAATATTCCGCACCTTAACTGAAAAAATGAAAGTCCTTCATTGAACCCTTAGACCCTAGTATTACTATATCTTTAGATCACCCGGCGGCTCCGGTTATTATCTAAGTTACATCAGCATTGATGCAGTGGCGATCATCTTATAGCCAGTCCCTACTGTACTGTCAGCCATAAAATGGCTATTCCCTAGCAATGCTATTCTTGGGCTACCTCATACGGCTCCAGCGACCGTAGGCCCGGAAATTATCCGAAAACCCTGAAGAGGATCGAGAGGCACCTCGGTTCTACGGATCGACCTAAAATGTGGGTTTTATTGTGTCATATTATATAACGACCAGCATAATTCAAACAAGACCTGCCCTAGCACAAACTCTGACGCCCGTGTTACCACCTGCCACAACCATATAACAATTGATAAGATACGGCATTTCTCAGAGCGCTCTTCGTGAGCCGGTCCCGGTGCGGATTCCATCCGGCGCCAGGGCGTTGTTCACGCGACTTGTACTGAGCCTTTGGGACCGCGGGAAGATCACGTGGCCAATATGAAGAATATGAAGATTGATATTGGTCACGTGGTAACCAGCCCTAAAGCACATAGTGTTGGGACTGGGTTCTGTCAGCAGTTCTACACCGCCTTCCTGACCGCCCGCAGCGGACCTATAGGCAGTAGATAGCTGCTCCTCTTCTTCTCTGGAACGGACCCTACAGACAGACAATTTGATGCTCTCTCTCTCTTCTGCTCCCTTCCTCAGAGTTCTGCTCTTCCCAGCTTCCCTAGTGCTCTCTAAGATAGAGTGCCTCGGCACGCTCTGCGATAAAGCCTACGCTTTATTGTTCACTACGTAGAAATATATAAAACCACCCCATATGAGTGAGGCGAGGGGTGGTGGGTAGCTGTGGATAAGTATTTCTTATAGCCTCAAGCTGTGAATTGCGCATTTCCACTCTAGATGCCACAATATAGGCTCGGACGGGGTACCATCGGCTTGATACACGAGTCCAGATTGCCTATTCCGCGATTTCATCGTCCGCCATCTCACCGCGAGCCGCCCGCTTAAGCATCTCTTTCACCCGCAGAAATCCACACCGCGACGCAAACTCTGCTTCACGGCTAAGTTGGTTCTGAAGCCAATGCCATTTACTACCCGCGCGAAGCACAGCCGTCATCAGAACCGCCTGGTCCTCCCAAGCCTGATGGCACTCAAAGAAGATATCGTGAGGGACCTTTGACCAAAGGCGTCCAAGCTCCTGGATAAGACACTTTATGACACCGAGGGCGAATTGAATGTCGGCGGGTGAGTCTAGCGGCGTAGCACGCATGATTTCCTCCAATATTTCAACACTATCGCTGGTATGTTGCTTGGTGGCTTGTTGTGCCACGGTTTGTTGTTGATGGTTTTTTGCCCGAGTGTTGCTGTATTTCACGAGCCACTTTCCAATCCCGACGCGGCGTAGGCGGACCGCCATCATCAACGGGGTCTCTCCATCTCGTAGTGCCGGGCGTGAGGGATCCGGGTCGTGGCAAAGAAGTGACGGACCCACGGTTACTGGGTCCGGATGGTACGCGATAAGGGCGTGCCAACACCCCCTGCCGTCCTCATCCACGTCAGCCAGCGTGATGCCCCGAGTCAGGAGGCGGTCCATAAGTTCAGGGGTGGCGTGCTTGCATATCTCGAACAGGTCCGTGGGTCTCAGCCATCCGATGAGATCAAGTGTTGTGTCCGCTTCGAGCTTTTGCCACGCACGTGGAAAGCGGATAGGATCGCCTGCTCTAATCGCGAGGTATGTTTCATCTGGGTCGGAAGTTCCGAGTAGTGGCCTGCGGAGGTACTGAGCATCGAGCGCATCTACGAATAAGCCTTCTATCTCCGTGTCACATGTGGCCATTGCGCAGAGTAAGAGACTGCGGTCTCCGCTAATATACATGGTCGGAAGAATGGCCTTGGTCTGCAAGAGAAAGTCGACGCACGCAAAACATTTGGCAAAGATAGAGTCTGAGGCGGCGTCGACATCCGTGCCCCGGGATGCACTTGGATTCTCGTTAAGGGCGGTTGCATTTGAATCTCCTTTAAGCTGCTGCAGCTTACATATTTTGTTGTGCCAGTGTTTATTGCCAAGGAGAGCTATGCAGACCCCGCCGAATCTGGCGTGCCCAGGCATCGTGATCAGGGTTCGGAGCGCGTGGAGGTCTGTGTGGGTGGCGGGCGGGTCTGAACAGAGGACATTGATTAAGACCATCTCAATCAGCGCATTAGGGAGCGTATTAAGCGAGGGATCTGCCCACGGGGGGTTCATGGCGTCGGTAGGTGTGGTGAGAGGGTAGTCGTCAGGTCTGGTATTCATCGACAGCCGCGGGCGTCACGGGCAGGAGAGATCTGGCGTGATCTGGACATGCTAGCGTTAGCGAACGGCTTGATCCGGTCTCACCTAGTTAGAGAGGACTGTGTACGGTAGTTTCTACCTAGGGGACAGTGAGAGGCAGACCGGGCCGAGTCCTGCCGCCCGGCTCAGTCGTAGGATTGGCGAGCAGCCCACGCGTCAGACTTGTGGATTCGATACCACGGATTTGGGAGGCATATGAGTAGGCGGGGTAAGTGTGAGTATTGAGCAGTAGGGATGACGAGGACAGGATGAGAGGGAGAAGAGGCGGAGGAAGATGCAAGCAAGAAGTTGGGGGCAAAAGGTGTCGAGATCATGGGTGCCGATAAATCACCAACACAGCATTATTTTGATTACAGAACGCCATATTAAAGATAGACGTAGACGTGTATATGAAGAGAGCTGAATACCAGGGCTCCGGTATAGATGGGGTTCTGCCAGGCAGGCGGATAGATCGGTCCTCGAGATGCACGTAGATGCCTTAAGATGCTAGGTAGTTAGGCATAGGTGGAAAAACAGACTGTGGCAAATCATGTCGAATAACTTGGAGAGAGAATAATACATCCATCTATATACTTGACTATGGACTTGAACTTCGGACCCCCAGTTTGATGCCTACAGAGTTAGGCCGAAATAGAAGGAATATTGGAGGAACCGAGGAGAGGAGCCATTGTGCGACCTCATCAAATCCACCACAGGCCAGGTAGGTGTCGAGCGGAGACGGACGGCTGGTCGTTGGACAGGAGTGCTCCATCAAACCTCCTCCCCGACGTGGTGTCGGTGTTTAGATCCTGCGGATGCCTTAGGGTGCGATGGCACGTCCTCGCGTAGGGCTTGATGGGGCGGGCCAGGTAGGATGGTGGCAGCATCCGCGTCGTCGGCGTCGTACACGCTGCCATCAATATACGAGATCGCGGCTATGAGACCAGTCTAGATGGCGTTGTAGTCGGCGAGCGCGGTGGCTCTACGGAGGGACAACTCGCCAGGTTGAAGTGCCTTATGGAAGTGAGCATCCGTGTAATTTGGAAAAATTGGGGGTGTCCCATTCCGTTGGTCGAGCGCCTGCTCGATTGTACCCCAACCATCCACCCAATATTGTTGCCTGGGACGACCCGCGAGTTCAGTTGTATTGAATTTAGGTGGCCACCCAAAGGTCTGGTAACCCTAGAACTACCATGCGGTTTTGCTCTCTCTGTTTACTCTCCTCTGGCCCGTCATTGGTGGCGGTCTGCGCAGCGTTCACAGGTCACAGGTGTGGAGAGAGAGAGAGAACGGGGGGTGGGTGTATGGAGGCAGGACGGAGCAGGAAAAGCCCATCGTCGTTGTAGTCGTCGTCATGAGGGGCCAATAACGCCCGCGGCGTCTTGTGGAGTATTCCCAGCGTCTGTGAATGCGACTCCTCGGTCCAATGTCTAGCCAAGGCAACTATTCGGGAAAAAGAGCACATAATGCAGCGGCAGATATGCATGATGACTCGGGATCGTTCACATCATGTCAGAGACACCCGCATCGTCGCAAAGCGTAAGTTTTATATGGCGGAATTTCTGGTGTCACACTGCAACCTGATCACGGCTGAGCAGGTTTGATGTACGCCGGTTCGTCTGCTCCTATAGGGCCAAATGTAGCAATTGGGTAGTAGTGATGACGAAGGAGAGAAGAGATAGATGTCTGATGGTGGTGAGAGAAGAAGCTATAGAGCTATCTACATAATAGGGCAAGACGGTGAGCGAGGTGCTGGCAGACTCCTCAGGCACCTCTCTCAAGAAGTAGTAAATCGAAAGGTGTGCTGCGGAGCTCCGCGGTGGACGGCTGCCCTTGCGCCGTCTTGTATAGAGCAACCCACGGCTGGCCGCTCCGTGTGATCTCGCTCAAATCGCCAAGCAGGTTCGTTAGCGCGTTATAGATATATCCGTCTTTCGCGGACGGCCGTTCCCCAGAACGCGGGGGTCTTGCGACGCAGCGCTCGCGATTTACAAAGTCTGTGTCGTTAAACCAGACCTGCGCGCAGCAGGGTATGTCTATTGACCTAAGGTCATCATTGAGAACAGTCCCTGGGCGATACTGACAGCGAAAGGCTAGCGGAAGGCTGGTTATAGTGGGCTGTTTATTCTGTACAGTTTGTCGTGGAACTTCGAGTGGCGTGGAATACTTTGCTAGACTCTCTTGTAGAATTATGGACGCACTAACAGGGGGCGAAACCGGTTAGGGATAAAGTAGGGGCGCAACAGAAGCCATCCGATACGCCGCATAGTCGCGGGCTTTCGTCTATATCTAGGCAGTCGAACCATCATCTAGTATTGAAACAAGAGATTAAGAGGGATATTAATCAGAGATGAGGTGAGGGACAAAAGACTTTACGGAGAGAGACGGGAAATCTTGCTATGCGGTAGGGGGATTAAGGACGTCAAGTTCTAAAAAGGAGAACCCTTTTTAGATTGGATATACCTTCTTATATCAATACTCATATTCACCATCTACATATCCAAATAAAGAGCGTCGTAGGAGAGAGACTAGCAACTGGGAACCCAAGACCTTAACGAAAGCTTATCTACCCTTAATGCCCACCACGGCCCTACTACCGCTAGAAAGCCCGAGTCAGAGTAGGCTAACTACCCCTTAATTCAAGCTCGCCTCTGCAATCCACACAGGGGTTGGAATATGCGGGTGCTATGGGGATCCCGCTCGAGAATAGCATGGAGGGTTCGTGTCGTCCGAAAGCAGTGTTTGAGGTTATGAAGAGCCAACCGATGATAGAACGATCCCCACCAGCTAGAAGGGGCATACCGAACCATCATCCGAGCAAACCCATGTATCTCGAATTCTAGGGCCCGACTATACTCCCGACGCCATTTCCGTGCCTGAGCGGGGGAGAGTCCACATTGGACTGGTGGTATCGGGGGCATTTCATGGTCTTGGTGTTTCTGTAGGCCCAGGCTCATAATCCAGCGGTAGAGTTCGCGGTGGTGCTTCATAGAGAGGGGGTTTTGGCGCTTCAGCGCCTTGAACCATGCTTCAAGCATCCATTCGCTCGTGGGCCAAAGTCTGCGCCGAGTAATGAGTTCGCCGATGTTATACGTAAAATGGGAGTCAGGGGGCACGCAGAGCGTGGTTGGATCAGCACGTTGGGAGAGCCACTTGCTGGAGGGGTAGTCGTCTAGGAGAATAGCGGTATGCCAAGGCAGCGGAGACCCCAGTGGAGAGGTCGAGTCTGCTGTATCATGAGAACCTCCCGGATGGTCAAGAAACCACTGGAAGATCGCGAGGGCATTTGGGTTTCCACCGCTAATCACATCCTTCCACCCCGTGCTGGCCCCTCCGCATTTTCTGGCGATATTGAGATTTCTGGCCAAAAGTTCATCGGCGACTTTGACTGTAACCCAAGAGTAGAGTGGCTCAAAGGGCTTATCGAGCCATACATATCGAGAGAGATCTGTGATGGTCGGCGTAGCAGTCGTGATCCGCTGCCAAAAGATGTCCCAATATTCGCCATGGCTGAGCGCTCCTTTAACCGCGGTGTCAGGAAGCCCAACCTCAAGTTGCTGCGTAAGAAGGTCCGTGACTGGGAGATGCTCAATAAGCCACTGGACCGTCGGTAACTGTCCTGCTCGGATCGCAATTTCGAGATAGCCCAGCCCATTGCGATTATAGCCACGAGGTGGGATCAGGCGGAGACTCCAGAACCACTTGAAACAAGGGAAACAGTTTTGCACGCAGTCGGTGATCAGGTCCGTAGCTGGGGGGGCCATCAAAATCGGTATTCTGTCGGCATTGGCTTGTGCTAATTCGCTGTACCATTCTTGGCGGACCTTGGCTCGGAATTGACTCCTGTACAGTGGGTTTTGTGGTCTGGAAAATCTGTTCCATATATTGGTATGGGTGCCTTGGTTCGGAATTGGCTGCGTAGCGAGAAGCCGGAGCGTATGGATTGAGATATGATCAAAAGCCTCAAGGTACTCCTCAATGATTCTGTCGCATACAAGCTCTGGAAGCTCTGGGAGAGTCGCCATAATGAAGAGGGTTGAGGAGAAAGAGAAGTCATGGAGCGAGAATGAGTGAAAGTGCGAAAAGAGAGCCACAGGTAAAGGGCAACTCGAAAGAAAGATAGATGAAGATGGCGGGAGAGGACTGTCTTTGGGACATGTTACTGGCCTCTAGCTGGAGGATTGATGGTAGCCAAAAAGGGCAAACGGTTCGAAGCACTGTATTCAAATAAATAGGGCAATCAAGAAAATAGAGATAGAGGCAATAAACTGTAGTATTCAAGAAAAGGGTTGCATTGATTCTTCCGTTAATGTCTTACTAGAGATATCAACTCTCTCACTATTCGTCGCCACATAGGGTCGCTCGAACTTCATCTCCCCAACGTGTACCTGCAGATAACAATACCAGGCGACCCCGAAGACAGACGGGCCGCCGAGCAGAGAGCCAAAGCGACGCTTTTGATGCATAGAAGGATGCTTGTCTCACGGGCCGCGCAACTCCCGCCGCATCTGCCATCAGATCGCTGTAGGGGACCTGAACTTTTATCATCCCCCCTGGTCGAAAGCGAGGCAGGCGAGCATTTTCAATCAAGCTGCTGATAAAAGTAGGCATCACAATGACGGCAGACCGCCCGTGGACGGGTTGGATCTGCTGACGAAGCGAGGCATGGTCAGCTTTAACGGGCAGGTGTTTGGGAGCGACATGCAGTCGACTATTGATCGTACCTGGGCATCCACCGCACTTGTTGACCGCGTCGTGCGTTCTTCCGCCTATTCTCAGTGGTTATAAGCCGCGGGCCATGTCCGAAATTTGACCTTCTCTAGGCCCCGTCGCCGATTCGTAAAGTGAAGAAGTGGAAGGAGGGTGAGTAGGGAAGCTGGTTGCCGCGTCTCGATGCGATTAGCCAGCATTGGCCGCAGAAAGACATCGAACAAGCTGACCACATCGACACAGCCGTCGAAACAATTCTCGAATCGTTCAACGAGCCCGCCGAAGACACTGTTTCTACGAAGATGGTCTGCCAGCGTTCCTTCCCGTCGTACACCCCGGTCTTCTAACCGAGAGGAAAAAGCGACCAACAGCCTCATGCTTTCCAGCGATTTGCAAAGGCTGCCCGGAAGCAGGAACCATAGCATAAGAAAAAGTGAATTTGCTCCCAAGGCCCCAACGCCGCTCATACAAAAAGAAGGCACCGGCCCAACCCGAAACGCGTCAGGAGGCAGGACGTCTACCCTCGCGCAGCGCACGATATCACGGTTGACGAGAGCAAATACCCCAGCCCAGCATCAAGGGTCCTGTTTTAGGACCCCCAGTCGACATCAGAAGCTAAGCCCTCAGCAGCTAAGAATCCAAAGATAAGGCCTGGAGTAATCAGCATCCGAACCGGAACCGAGCAGCATCCCAGTCAGCTGCATCAGATTCTGACCATCCCCGGCCCCCTCAGCCCACAACAGCCCCGACAAGCGCCGCCAGTTCGCTCGGATGGGCGAATCCGAGTCCGTCGAGCACCGACCTCCACTGCTGAACCAAAGTCCCAACAGGCACTCCGCACAGAAGGCGATGTGCGACGGGAGAAGGGAGGCAGAGGACAAATACCGCCATGCCAAGAACGGCATCTTCGGCAATAGGAGAACCCCGCACACACCGGCACAAGAACAGCAGACAGCAGCTCTGGGACGACGTCAGTGGATGGTAAGATGGCCGGAAAGGGAAAAGGGCAAAGGGCAGGCTATCGACTACACCAAAGGATTGAAGGATTCCCTCCACGCAGCCAACCTCGCCCAGGACCACACACCAGCAGAGCTTGCTCCCCCTCCCCAACCGGCCACAGTATGACCAGGACGCCGCCGAACCTGTCGCTCGACAATATGATGGCTACTATGCTGCGGGACGAAAGGATCCTTGACTATGCAGTTCTGGCTATTCAGAAGCCATGGGTCCAGCACTACGGGCCCTGAGTCAACACGACGCACTATACCACAGAAATCAAGGAGCACTTCGACCTCCTATCGATCACGCACCCTGACATTGCCCAAGTAAGCACCTTTGTCGGCAGAAGCCTAGTGAAACTGCCGGTCCACTACACCCAGCATGTCCTCTTGACATATATCTCCGACCGGGTCCATGGATTCTTCATCCACAACATTTATTACCCACCAGCCGTCATCGAGAACTACGGCATCGGAGATTTACGCAAAACCATTCAGAGGGCAGACAGCGTGCCGCGGCAGAACCACCACATCGCTGTCGGGGGCTTAATACACACGATGGCCTCGGGGCTGCGTCAGGGCTCCCCCAGCTCGCCAAAAATACGGAACGCGCACAGGGCTTCAAAGACCTGATCGGGGGCAGGCCCATCGCAATCACCTCTCCTCGTGGCATCATCACAAGGCCGGTCCGCACCTAAGGAAGCTTCGAAACGACCCTCGACCTCAACCTCTTGTCATGGGAACTCCCGGAGAAACTGTGGCATGTACGAGTGGTGGAAATATCGGGCCTGCCAGACCACCTGCTGATCGAAAGCGAATTTAAGACTGCCCTCACTACCCTCACTACCGGACAGGCAACACCGAAGCAGAAATGGAAGGAGCTTGACGTCGAAAACCTCCGCACCACGCTGTCCCTGCAGCTGACAAGCTTCCCCTTAGTCAACAAACCACAGAAGCCACCGATACAATGGTCCAACAACTCACTGGATCAGCAGTCGATGTCTCGACACCATGACCTAAGCCAACAGCACTCTCTCGCCGGGGATCGACCAACGAGCGTCGTTTGCTGCCAAAGGAAGCCCACCGGGCCCAAAGCGGGATTCTTCTGTTCCAGGAAGCGCTCTACCAGCCCGCACGGGAACCAATATAGCGGGTATTCCGCCACAAGAAAGCGGTGACCCGCAAGCGCATCAAGCGCTAGAGGAACCAGACCGATCTGAAACCTCTCGAGGTGGGCAAGGAACCGCTGTCCCTATCCGACACTCACGCCACCCCCAAAGGCCCGGACCACGCACTTCGCTCTCTCCCATAACAGAAAGCCGCACTACTTACCCATGCCTTCTTCTCGGTCCCCCGACAGCATCGCTGGTTGACATCGAAGGCTTCACTTACCCCGAGCCGTGGCCAGTCCCGCCAATCACGGCGACCAAAGTCTGGCGAGCAATCTACCGCCCCGGGGCCTTCAAAGTGGGCGGGCCTGACGATATCCTGAACGGAATCATGCAAGCCGCACCAGCAGCACCATCAGACCAACACACACCAAACCGGCTTTTCCCAGTGTTAGAAGACCTTTACAACAACTGCCTGGGCGTCGGGTACTGCCCGCAGCACTTCCGCGAAGCAAAGACAGTCGCCCTCACAAAGCCTGGAAAGGACGACAACAAGCCGAAACGATACCGGCCAATCGTTCTGTTCTACACCATCGGCAAGGTCCTCGCAGAGGTACTCGCCTTGCAGCTCAGGTACCTTGCCGAGAAGCATGACCTGCTGCCCCACGAACACTTTGGCAGTCGAAAAGGCCAGGGAACAAAGACGGCACTCTATGCAGCTTTGGAAAGTTTGGCTGTAGGCCGTCGATAGGCAAAGGAGTATGAAAGAAGTGGCACCAGTAAGGTAAATGCGAATGGCAGCTCCACCAATACAGGATCCCAGACAGAGCCACGGCTTTCGCTTCGTTTGGTCCCGGATAATGCGAATTGCGGGGAACGAATAGACCTTTCCCAGATCTTGTAAATCCCACTACTGCGAGATATACGCAAGGAGCATGTCCGCTTCCCTCGTCATCGGCCGAAAGCTGACGACAACAAAGCCATCCATCAAGGAAAAGACGAGCATGCCCTTTTTTGTGAATAAGCTGGGGTCTTCAGGGGTCCTCAGGGAATGGGCGATGTGCGAATTTCATGAGGACTTTCGTCGCCTCCTTCTGCCACAATCGAGGTGCCACAATCGAGGCGACTTCCGCATCCCTTATAGTGCGCGGCGGGCATCCTTTTTCCTCGCGGATCTCTTGTTGAGACAAAGTGCCGGCTGCACTGCCTCTGGACATGGCGATTTCAGAAGTCCTGAATCGAGCGAAAGGGCTCTCGCTTGCGCTATTATTCACTTCCCCCCTCCCCCTGGGGGGATCGTTTGGCCAATCCGTTTCCCTTTGGCGTGTCGACAGGGATATTCTCGAGCAGAATTCCTGTATTTCAGAGGAAGGAATCAATGACATTGGCCGCACTTCGATCATCACCGAGGCTGAATGATCTCAATGGCAGCTGTTACTAGTGGTTCGCCAATTGATGAACTCGCGAACTGCTTCATGGCACCCGTTTTTCCTCTCATAGGCGTAGAGAGTGTGCAGCTTCGGACCGTCGATATAGAACCAGCTGTGGCCATTGTAGCCTGCTTCCACTTCAACCAGGTCAAAAGGTAATTCTTCCGATTGTCCAGAATACTCTCTCATCAAGGCGGTAGCAGATCCGCCTCGGAGGGTTTGACAGTTTACAGATATCGCAGAATTCGGGGTTTAATTGATGGGAGTCCTCATGACGCTTTTTCAGATCCACCCCATTAAAGCAGCCCACCCAGTTTATTGATATTGTGAGTGTAGATACGACCCATTCTTCGGTGGTAGACCTCTCTCCTTTGACGATGATTTGTATTTTTTAGTCCGTCAGATATCATGACGGCTGATAAAACATATCGAATTTCACAATTCAATCGTTTTAATTCTAAATATCTGAACAAATTCATTTGATATAATAATTTTTTCTAATAATTCTCAATATAAGATCAATGTTTCACGATTGACTTCTACATATAATATTTTTATACCCAATTTTTTTCCTTGACAAGCCCTTCCTTTTAAAGATACAAATTCAGGACAATGGAATTTTTGTACGGAACATTAACAAAAATCTTCAAAAATTCTGGTCTATTCTTGTAATGATTAATATATTATTTAGTGATGAAGCATAAGGAGAAGGAACAGCTAGCGGGAGAGCATCAGAGGGAAGAAACAGATTCATGATGAATCTCAACAAACTACCGCGAAAGCGGTCGGACAGGCGGTGGAGGATTAGTGGCAAAACTCCATCTCCAACATTTTACGTAGCCATAGCCGTCCCATAGTCAGACCCACACCTTCGGCGTTGGTCTTCCACTGCTCAATATATATTCCCGTCTCAACACACATTTTTGTTGACTGTCTTGATTGTAAATCGCTACATCCCGTGATTTGACTTTCTATCTAAATTTAAGCTTCTTATTGCCCCATTGCTGCTCCCCACATGTCCTGTAACTATGCCCTTTTCTGCACTTATTTAGATTTTGTCAAAAAAAAAAAAAAAAAAAATACAAAAAGGGTAAAAAGGGTCAAGAAAAGATAAAGAAATATTAGTTCCAGGACGGGCTGAACTGCTTTAGAGCCTCTCTACCCCCATCTCTTGCCACTAATTTCTCGTAACTGAGAGACTCGTTCTTCTTCTGTCCCTCACTATCGACTTCTACCTCTATCGTTGCGTGACGTATGGTCCAATGATCAGTACTATAATACACCCCCTTTACTTGAATAACTGCCGGATGGGTCTGTATATCACGATCAGAGACGGACTAAGTATATCATAGTAAACAAACCTCTTTCTTTTGCATCATAGAAAGATCCCGTGAATTGGAAGTTCCCAGATGGGCTAATGGTGGCTTTTGAGGTACGCTATTATATGGATGGCCTTTATCTATTTTATGAGCCAGAGATTAGCTGGCAAGCAATATTTGGATTTTATAGCATTGGGAATTTCTATTTAAAAGACTGAATAACGGAATTTTCGCAGTCGAGACATGACCTGTGGCAAGTGCTGCACTTGGAAGGGGGATTTGTTGTTTTCGTTTTCTTGAATTATTGAAGAGTAGTGTTTCTAGCAATCAACTCACTGACCTGTATTTAACAACCTATTTCCTATTCGGTCCTCCGCTATATGAGCATCCTCTTTTTTATTAAACCAGCGTAGCGACTGAATTACATTATTCCAAATGATTTTTATGACGTTCATTTTTGGGAAAAGGTATATTCAGACAACAATATCGAATTCTCCGATGTAGGGGAATAAGAGAAGATGAGTGGTATGCCCAAGACGGTTGGACTATATGTATTCAAAAGGTTCTCCGCCGAGGTTAAGAGATGACCTATTAATACGCAGTAGAGGCGAAGGTGAAAACAGTCAACAGGGTGGGCCCAGTAGGCCGGGGATACACCAGGAAATACTACCGCGGCGCTAGTGCCAAAAATAGTCTGCCTATGTATTCCATTAGATCAGTATAGAAGTAGTAGGTCACTCGAGTTGAGTTTTTTCAAGTAGTATTTTCCACCTCAAATGCTTGTGGGACAAACTCTTACAAATCTAGAACCCGAGATCGTCGAAATCTGGGTGATGATAAAAACATAGGTGACTGTTGGCTTCGCGAAGATGAAGTCTAGTACGGTAGATATTTATAATCCTTTGGGCGAATTTTCCCAACAATTCATATTGAAAAAATAAAAACAGAACCCAGATCAGATGAACATTTGCCAAATGTTGAGTCCAACATTCGGAGCGGAATTATAATGTTCTAAATGTAGAGTCAATATTTGGAATGTGGAACAAGCTTATGTACGCGTATTATGATTGGCTAGCTATAATTAATTAAAAATTACTTTCTTGTTCATTTGACCTGCAAGCTCAAATGAAAATAAAGCCTAGAAAAAAGGCGAATGTGTACGTAATTCAGTTTCTATTTCTAAGTAGTAGTAATTCCTTTTTTTTTGGCTTATATCAAGGCAAGTATTCCTTCGTTTCTCTTTTGTATAGTTGTCTAATGCTAATATAATACAAAGATATAGAAAGAGAAACTTTCATCGTTGATTTTGGTTTGTCGCATTTAAGATCACCAAAAATCCATAAAAAAATCCGTGAGAGAGTAAGGATAAATCTGAGTGTAGATAAATGGTAATATGCCACCTATCTAGAAAAGTCTGCCGACACTCGGGATATTTATTCCCCGTAAACTCGACGATTCTTATTGTAAATATGTCGATAAATTTATATTGTAAATAATTTTTTTATCTTTTTGTTTTTTTTTTTTTTTTTTTTTCATCCTGTCTTTGTGTTCTCCTGCAACATGAGTTTGTCAACTATACTCTAATTAGGGATTTTCTGGAGGCCGCAGTGTTTTATGGCAAAGGGAGTAGTACTTTATGCCTGAGTAGCAGGAGTGATATCCCTATGCGATGCAAATTTCTGAATGTGCTTTTTGAAATCCAAATTAGGTTGGCCTAGACAAATAAAGGAAAATTGGGGTCGATGATCCTCTATGATAGATCGAAGAGCGTCTTCTAGAGGCGTTACACGGGACGGCGTTGCCGACCACCAAGCCACTCACGGCAATTCACATGGTCATTTGTAGTCTTCAAGAGACCATAGTATCCCAATGATCCCACAACACAATTTATCGTCCGAATGTTCATTTCCCAGGAAAGGCCACGGTTTTCTGGGTCGCCTAAGGAGCCCACGGGTTCTCTTAGGGATCCCACGACAGACCTGATCGTCGGACCATTTAGGCTAGATCGTGGGAACACTTGTTTCCTGGGAAAGGCCAGAAGGCGTTTAAGATGCTACAAGAGCAGTTTAACGCGAAGTTTAGGGCCATGCGGGCATAGACGGCGTTATGTGTATCTTTGCTATATAGGGGAACCAGTCTGTCTCTGAGGAGTGTGAGTGAATTTAACATTATCTCGTAGATCCCTACTCCGTGCATGCTGTTGTTTTGGAAAACAAATCTAGTATGAAACGGAAATTTGAGAATATCCACGAAGCACATTCTTTAATTATGCCGATCTAGCCATGCTTGCTCCCATCAAAAACACGAACTCATAGACTTTAGATCGCCACATTTTGCCTTTCATTCACGTCTTTTATCTTAATTCATATCCCCCTTTATCTTTGATCTACTTATTAAATTAAGAAAAAAAATTTCTTCTTTTTTTGAATTCGGGTCACCCTCGGTCTTTGAATCCATCTTTAATCTTTATGGAGACCCACCCGGCCCCAGAGGAGGAAGAGGGGGGTGGACGCTTGGCCTGAATATATGGAGGTCTCTCGGGTCTCGACTACGACGAGGATACCTCCCGGCAAAGCGACATGCAGGCTACGATAACTATATGTCCCCCTCTATGGACATGTAGAGTCCACGAATTCTTAAAGAGGAACTTAGAGCCTCGTCCAGGTCCGGGCCTAATTGTCACTCCCCTTGTTAGGGTTCTCTTGTGGGTCGCAACCTCGGAATCGCTGTGACGCCTCTGCGAAGCCCAAAACGGTTGCACCTACGTGGAAATGCCCCATCTATGCCGTAGTTAGTAGCCAGGGCTCGGACAATAGGGTGGTGTTTGCTTTTCCTAGCAAGGCCCACGGCGTGTCTACATTGAGCCCTTGTTTGTCAAAGCGGTTAAAAGGCTGATGGACGTCATGAATGTGCCTTACGGTTACTACAATTGTCAGTTGCCTATAAAGCTGGATCTTGACCGTATAACCCCAGATCCTGGACATAGCCGCGTCAATAATCCGTCGCAGACGGGAGGTTGGCCAGGCCTAGGGCGACTCGGCCTCTGAGTACGAATAGAAGTTTACGGTATGATTAGCCTATTTATAGGTAGTATGAACATAATCTGCAAGAGACTTCGAAACCCTCATTAAGTGTGATATATTAACGTGATAGAGTTATTTCGTTAGCGGGTAAATATCACGCGTGCCTTTCCAGTCGCTCTGGGTCTGTCCACGAAGGCGATACTATTATTGGCGCCTTGAGCATCATTTGGACATCACAATGGCAGGAAGTTTCCAAGTAGAGTCCAGTGGAAAAAAAAAAAAAAAGAAAACAATATAACCATTTATATGCTACCGAGAGTTTTCCTATTAGGTCTTACGGTCAGTGATATCCCTCCGAAGAACTCAACAGGCAAGGCTAGCCGGTAGTAATGAGGCATAAACATGGAAGATAACTTCTATGCCAGAGTGTTTCATGGCAATCGGTACCTTGGAAGCTGGATGGACGTGGCGTGTTGCCTCGCATTTCTGTTTGCTAGTTTCTTAACAACAGTAGCATACAACCAAGGAAGGGGTCATGCTGTTTTCCTTAACCCGAACTTACTAGTTATATGCTACTGCTCTCTCATCATAGATCAAATACGGTCCACTTTCAAATCACGAATAGAGGTGAGAATTTTTGCTATTATGTAGCAAGGGTAATTTAGGCGTGGTAATTATATTAGAGAATAATGTAGAATTATTGTGTAAATTATTGAGAATAAACTCCTCAACGGACTAATACGTTATTCAGCATATAATCCCTCCCTACCACTGTCAATTGATAGCCAATTCAATAGGTGAAATTAATTGCGCAATACCCATGTCCCCCTGATTACCAAATATTCTACTAGCCCCAGAAGCTCAACCAACCTTCCTTTAAAGCGCTCCGGTGATAGTGACATATCTGGGATGGATGGCCTCGTATACGTGCTGGAAGTGTTCTGGAGGTTCTGCAAAAAAAAGAAGGAGCCCCGGGGAAGGAGGCGCGCCGATTTGTGTGTTGGATTGCGAGGTGAGAAATGAAAACATCCGAATCGCATCGTCGGACAGATCTTCCACTATGGCTTCAGTATGTTGTTTCAGGATCTTGTTTCAGGCTACACGTGTCTGCCCCTTTCTGTAGTCTGTTTTCCAGAGATTCTGGCAGGCCTTCAATAGGAGCGTGGTCTGAGCACCGAGTTGGCGCTCTCTGAAAGCATCCGCTACTGCTTGCGTACCTAACCACTATGATTGTAGAGCCATCAAAGGCGTTTGAGCTGAAAGCTGGAGGTCGACTTTAGGACTCTATAAGTTCAATATTACTTGTGAGCGAGGAAGAAAGCACATTCGTCTACCTTGATTCCGTTATCTGCTGGAATGAGAAAAGTAGACTCCGGGGGGCATAGCGATTGAAAGTCTAACACTGAATGGATGCACGGCATTCGACTTAGAACTTTCTATCTATATTTATGCTTCGAAAGATACAGTATACCACAGCACAGATACAAGTTTATAGTTCTTCTAAATTATATGATATTATTTTGCTTTTTGAAGCGCGCGGGACACATATGGGCTCGGTTCACTTTTAGCGGAATGGCAAGCCGACATATGCTGACGACTTGTGTGATGCTTTGGTGTCCAAACAATGTCCACCGACCCTAAGTCCTTCCCCCCCGGACGTGGAACAGAGAATCTGCAAAGTCGAGACCCGTAATTTCTGCATGAAGACCATATTATAGCTTGTTTCTGATCTATCAACCCTCGTGCTCTGTGTTATTTAGGGGATAAGCAAGAGGTTAAGGGGCCAAGAATGAACGATAGAATTGGATGCGTGACCCCTTTGACACGTCACAAATGATCACTGAATTCGCAATCCGTAAGTCTCAGTAACAAATTTTAGTTTCCTTCTCTATAGTTACATGACCACCGCTTCTTTTCTACTGCGTAGCTAATGCAAAGGCAAGGCCACTCTTAAGCCGTTGGGTCAATGTCAGCAAACCCCGTGCCAAATACTTTGATATGGCCACACTGGCATGGTATGTATACTGAACTAATGTATACTGGAGAGATAGAAGCTATGTACCTATCAAGCATCCCTGAGATATGAATGAGCGTTATCTCTAGGGAATAGTAGACTGAATTTTGATTCGCGGACGCCATGTGCTGTCCAAATAGGACAGATATGTTCCTCAAACTTCTACAGAGTTCGAGGTGATCTTGCTTGCAGAGTGCAAAAGCTTGACTAATCCTTCATGTCCTTTTCTTCTAGCCAGTGTTAGGGGTGTCCACCCATCGATATCTTGAGAGTTTGGATTGGCGCCATTATCGAGAAGTAGCTGGACTATTTTCTCCGCTTTCAGCATTACCGCCAAGAACAGAGGTGTTTCTTCATCAAGAATCCTGATCTCGAGATCGACACCTGCAGCAAGCAGAAACTCGACTACAGCTTCATGCCTGTTGAATACTGCATGAATTAGAGGCGTCCATCCGCTGTAATCAGGACAGTCTGGCTCGATAGTAGCAGTATCAAGCAACAGCTTGACAATTGCCTCTCGTCCCTTCCTTGCCGCGTGCCATAATGCGGTTTTCCTATCAGAATCCTGGGAATTTGGGTTGATGCCATTGACAGCAAGCAGTAGCTTGAGTGCATCGGTATGTCCCTTCTGTGCGGCCCACGATAAGGCAGTTCGCCCATCAGAACCCTGAAGGTTCGGCTTGATGCCGTTGACAGCGAGCAGCCGCTTAAGTACTGCGCTATGTTTCTCCTGTACTGCCAATGACAGGGCAGTACACAAATCGGAACCCTGGAGGATCCGGTCGTCGGCGGCAAGCAACAGCTGTACTATGTCTTCGTACCTGTTCCGTGCCGCAATGAATAGATGGGTTTCAAGCTTAGCCGGATGTTGACTGCATGCTCCTGCTGCAAGTGCCTTTTGAACACTCTCGTATTGGCCACAGTCTGTAGCCCAATACAGTGCCCAACCGTCATATCGTGCATCACAACGATAAAGATAGGGATTCAAAAGAATATAAAGGCGTCTGTTTGATCGGACAAGTGAATTGATGTGTTCTGGTGATTGTAGGAGCTCCGCAATATGCAACCACAATTCATTTGGTAAATGACGCAACATTGTGAAGGTATTGGCCTGATTACTTTGCGATCTGTGCGCTTCCGAATCGATAGTGGCAGCAGATGGTGGCAAGGGCGTTGGAGCTTCTGCCAGAACAGAGTCTTGTTCCTGAATGATACTGCGCATTGCATGGTGAAGGACAATGGATAGAGCCAACATCTTATGTCGGTCGAGATGCGGCTCGATGCTCTCCAGAGGTTTTTCGGATAATCTCCGAGCCTACGACCACCGGAGCTGTATATCTAGCCCAAAAATAGTATTACTAGGTATCCACCGTTCCATGTCTCAGGGGTCAGTTTTTTGCAAGTCTAGTCCCTGAGCCACACCGACTCTACGTAACGTTATGGGTGTATACACTGATCAGCACCACTAGTTTTGTTACACGAGATTTATATAAGTCATTGCCCACTAAACGTCGCTTCAATACGACTCATCCAAAACCAGTAAGATTGCTGTAGATGATTCCACAATCCTTTTGAATGTGCGAAGAGAGGCAGCATCTTAATCCACATTTCGACCTTTGCTGATATCGGGCGTGTGCCGCTATGTCTGGACCTGCAGCGGGATACAGGCCCTATCAGGATGATAACTGAAGATGTGTCTATAATATATGTGTTTTCAAAACCTAGTAGTTGATGAAGCCACAGGATGCATATATATTTGGAGATTATCAAGTCTTTTAAACTTTCGAATCGGCTCGCAATAGGGACAGATGTGGCGTGGGGGTTCATGAACAACCATATGCCTCCACTTATCTACCTCACGTTTGAATCTTCGCTGACATTCTTCTTGAGGCCAGTCGTATAATCTTTAAAGTGTGTAGTCACGTGAGAGATACCAGCCCAATCAGAAGAGATCGAACCCATACATAGGCCAGAAGGTACCTTGGTTGATTTTTGGCCGAGAATAGGTCAGCCATACGCCCGGGGTCGTACCATTAGAGCGCATCTACACAATGCTAGCGACGAGAAAGTGTACACACAGCTGGTATAAAGCGGACTTGCTCTACGGTCCACTGGCGTCTCGCGTCGGAAGGGACATCTGGGCTCTCTCCAGACTTCAGGAACGGACCGAGCATATCCCGTATTGGTGGAAGGACTTGGCTGTCAGTGCTCTCAGCTGCTATCTGTTCCGATACAAAGTGCAAGTGAGGTGTCTAGAAGGATATTGACGATGTGTTCAAGCCCGGAGGAGAATTTCTAAAAAAGGGGCGCTGAGTGTTCTGCCCCTTCATGCTTTCTAGATTTTTCAGATAATCCCCGCGGTCAGCCTCGAATGCTAGCATGATCTCAGGCACGGCGCCACCTGGATTAGCCATCATGTTCTGGTCCAAGAATTGGAAAGGGAAAAGAAATCGGAAGGAAAGCGTGATACAACCTTTTATATTGTTTTGCAGGAACAAAGCGCCGCAGGGTGGGTTATGTTTTACCCTATACCCCTAACCTAAGTAGGTAACTGGAGTTGCTATACTACAGGATCCTACATCTGCGTCCGCGTAGGTCATTGGCGCGGAATGGGACCCATGGGATCCCGGCCAACTCGTTACAACTGATGTAGCGGTCGATTACGCATAATTTAGAGGCTCGGGGATTGGGTCCATAATCCGCGCCGTGGAACAGCCCCACTTGACCCGCCGGTTTTCTCCCGACAACTCCGCGTCATATCGTATCAACAAGTTAACCGCTACCATGCAGCGCGAAATACCGGTCGGCTTACCTTGCTATTTTTCTTTTACATTCGGCGTTGGCTGTGCGAGTAATTACATTCGCCAATTTCGGAGCGACTTCACACTAGGCGCAAGATTTAGATATATTGAGATATGTTAATTAACATAGCATGGTCGAGCATAGCTAGTCAAATACATCGAAATAAAGGGCTACGCGATTTCGAACATAACGGACTCTGGAATGTGGTGGCTCGAAAGATTCATAACCTATGTCATATTCAAGCCCAACTGATCCGTCGCCCTTTTTTCTCCATATGGATCCATAGTGCTAGCCGGAAAGTAGCGTTGGCCTATGACGGCAATGATCCGGTCGTAAGTCTCGGGCATACACAAGAGTGGTCTATTTGCGCCAATAATTGCTTTTCAATGCATTCGCCGGAGCTGTAGGGACAAGCCAAAGAAGAGCATTACTAGGGATCGACCGTTCTATGTCCCAGGGGCCGGCTATTGCAGTCTAAGTCCTCAGAAATATGTACTATTCTGATAGTGCCCATTGATCAGTGCATTCGTTTGTGTCGTATCAACTCAGCCCCTATTTTGAACTCGATTAAAATATTAGAGATAAACCGAAATCAGCCACTTTACAAATGCATTTTCAGTCATAATTTGTAGACTGGTCAGAATCTCTAAGAAAAAAAAATACTACTTATATTTTTGGAGTGAAAGTACTTACGATAATCAAGTAGTAAGAGTGTTCAGCCGGGAGCTATGCCAAACGAAGGTACTAACCTAGGAATTCTCGACTCCCTACGGCCATCAGCTTGGGTCTATCATTTCTAGGAGTTCACACGAACGAGGGTTAGGGTTCTGTAGGGTAGATTAATTAATGTAATCACAGAGAGGTGTAATCACAGAGAGGAGAGAAACTGCTTTTCTTCGGCTTGGGGTATCGGTACAAATTGCCTTGAACACCCTTACGAAAGCAATTCGGAACTATGCTCCTCCTCCCTGTACCTACTTATCTAGTCCCCGTGAGTTGATCAATCTTTCCACCCTCGAATGCATCCTAAAACCCACCATTCGCTTCTTGCTCTGCAGTGAAAACAACTGGCCCATCATTCGCGCAGACTCGCACATCCTCACCGAAATCTATTCCAGGATATTTGCGATTTAGCTCCTATTTTATTCTATTTTGTTTCGCGGCTCTGGTGGACGGTTCCCATGGCAAATTCTATATATGTGTTTACATTTCATTTAATATCTCCGAGTGGCTGAGTGTTTTTGTTGCCGAAGGTAGTTGTGGAGTCACAGTTGTTGAACTAAGGCAAAGGTATAGAACTCATTCTCGGACAGCCATATAGTACACAAAAAGCAGAAGAGCTTGAAGAAAATCAATTCACGAAACAGAAAAAGAACGGCCTGAAAAATGAGACACAATGCGATTCGTCTTCGATATCGCGTGGGAAAGAAACATCCTTCAAGGAATTTTGGGAGGGAATAGAATACTCAATAAGGGTTCCTGTGCTTCTGAAATACCCACTAGCAACTGCAGTCGCTGAACTGAGAGAGGTTGAGGACGGACACAACGATCCGCCGGGGTTCAACGAAGCGTTACTTGCCTTAGCATAGAATAATCCAACGTTGTACGCTGCGCATGCTTTGATTACTCTTTGAGCAACCGTGTAATCCCCTTCCCGGGCCGCAATGACAGCAGGCATCAGAAAGTGTAGGCCCGCTGCATCTTCCATGTGCTCTCGATATACCCGATAGTTTTGCTCTACATTCACGAGGTGACCGAACTCTTGTAAAATTTGTCTTGGTCCTCCACTTGCCTGTGTTCCCTGAACAACGGCAGTCAATGAATAATAGTTGCGTAGTTGGTGAAGCGCCTGGAGAGCCCACATCAGAAAGAAACTCAGTTTAGGGGAGTTAGGTACCACACTACCTGAGCAAGGTGACCAATCTTCATATCAATCCCTGCCCCTGCAGCAATGCATTCCTCAACTAAGCGGCAAAGACGATTCCATCGTGAATTTAGATCATGCCTGACCTGATTGGGTTTAAGATACGTTCGCGAGAGGGCGTTGAGCTCGAGCTGTCGATACAATACGTGGTCATCCCTTGATAGGGATTCTGCCATGGCTGGTATTTCGGTTTGAGCAACCTTTTGCAGCAACTCATTGTCCTTGGTCTCCAATGGTAGATCCCAGTTGGTGTCAAGGCTGTGGTATTGTCTTCGGAACCGAATCTCTAGTATTCGCAGCTGTACGCCATTTGCCGATTTAGAATGGCCGAGAACCGTCTGCAGTGGCTGAATGATAAGACCAGATAACTGTTCCAGCTTCGGACTGGAGTAGCGCTCCTTTTCCGCGCCATGGGAAGTGATTTCAATTGTATCAAGAATGAACGGATCGGCCGGAATTTTCTGTATGCTCTGTTGAATGTTAGAGCTGGACAAAAGTGAAGGGATTAATACGACCTTACTTGTCGCACTTCAGTTAGTCTCTTCTTGTTGTCCTGCCTTCCGACGCACCAGCGGTACAATCTCCAACTGAGAGCGTGATATTGCCATCGAAATGATTCGATCATGTCAGAGGATCTCCCGGAAGCTTCGCAGACAAATTCGTCGAAAGGAATGCGTTGAAATATGTTGGAGCTCTGTTGCGATAGAGTACCGGCAACTACATCAGGATTGTCTGCTTGAAGCTGTGATGGAATCCAGTTCCAGGCCCAGCAACCTGTCAGCGGATAGCTTGACTGTGTGTACGGAGCTTCGGTGACGCTCTTCGTCCAAGGGTAAATGCGGTCACAAAACCCGCGGAGTCGACTTATCCATCGTTCATCCTCTGTGGTAGTCGGGTGTGATAATTTGCGCCTCCATTTCATTGGTTTCCTGCGATACCCATTACTTTGCTCGGGGGCACTAGAGCTGATTTCCGTCGCCACAAACCCCGAAGACGAGGAGGTGCGGATAATTGCTATGTAATTTACTGTAAGCCCTCATATATCCCATGCGGTCATTTAGACATGGCGTTCATTGGCGACATCAGACATACCTTTTTCTGACTTCGAGGTGTCTTCGACTTTTCCGAACATTACGTCGGGTACCCCAGGGAGTTGTTATTGAGGGAGGGGAGTAGTTTGCATCCTAATAGGGGCTCAACTGGATGACTTGGTGCGATGGTATATATAGTCAGCAACGGTACGTACACCTGATGCGATCTAGGTTTGTTGGCGAAAGTAAGCCAATTAACCCTTTGGGGCATACTGATCGGAGCTGCACGCAATTTTCCCTTGCAGGAACTCCTTATACGCCTAGCAGAGGCCATGTGGAGTCGCTATAGCGTGAGCACGAGAGTTCTCCAACGCGCATCATGGTTCGGAAGGAGGCTGCAGCCGATATCCACCTGTCCCCGTAATATTTCCTGTCATTACCAAAATTCCAAGACACCAGAAAACAGCTAAATGTGCGATTATAGGTGATTTGAAGCACTTGCTGAAAAGGACAAACCGCAGGATTTGTTTCTCTTTCAATCTAACGAAGTTTACTCGTACTTTTTCTGAATTAGACGAATCACCGTGAACGGCAGCAATAGCTGTCCATCTTTGTCGTTTCTCCAAGATCCCTCCCAGCATATTACCCTGGCTTTGCACCTCCCGAGCCGAGAAAGATGCCAGACAATGGAGTGGGGCAATTTTGCGGAGAAAGGAAGTCGAGTTCAGAAAAGAAATTTTGTACGGATTGTTCGTCATCTTCTCATACGTCAGTGTCTGTTGTCTCAAATACAAAGAGGAATCGGAGCATACCACAGCAGGGCATAACACCTTTTGTTCGATCACAAATCTATTCCAAAGACCAGCTGACCAAATGTGACAATTTCGTCAGGAACACTTTTTCCAATGTCTATTTAGTAGCTTTCGTAAAATATTGATATAAAAGGCCTTTATAGACTTCATTACCTTTCTTTGCAAAGCGCTCTTTCTGTAACGTTTTTAGTTCGGGGCCTAGCTGCAGGCACGCCGGGCAAGCAATATTGAACTACAACTTGTTTATCTAGCGCAGCAAACAGTAATGTTCCGTGTGTGTACCATCTGTGTGTTTTGCATGTTTCCGTTTAATGAGAACACACTATATAGTGTCTGGTCGGTCTGACTGAATCTTAGCAAGTCAAGATATATTCGATATCAAGTCAGGCTGCAACATCCTGGCTAACTTCCAGCTCCGCGAAATCCCAAAAGTGAATTATCCTAGATTAGAATTAATTAGGAGAATAGCTAGTAATCAGTAAGCGAGTTAGCCACCCCATAACACATAGTAAATGCGATAAAATACCACCTCGAATTTCATCATTTATTATTTAAGAATTATATTTAGCTATGTAACGCTATTATATAATCATCTTATTGTACTATGTAAATCAAAGCTCTATTAATATGGTGGTTGTCGGGATATATATATATATATATATCTTAAATTATCTTAGACTTAAATATGATACTATCAAGGTCTTGAAATATCTCTATTCTTAATATTAAAAAGAACCAATATTTGTTGAGATAGTCAATCAACTATTTACTATATGTTATAGGGCGGGCAACTCCTTACTGATACGTTAACGTGTTAAACAGAACAGGCCCACTTTCCTATTCTTAGTCAACCGAACGGCGACTGGGGCAAAATTTTGAAAGTGAAACTTCAAATATTGGCCAGTTAAGCATTGAACTCGAATGGCTAGTCTGCTTGAAAATAAGATACGTCCAGCACCTATGTATGAAATAAGGGGCCGACGACGCTAACGGACAATTGGGCTTCGAAGCACAACAATACCCAATCAAAATCGTGCAGATTACATCTGCACCAATTATCAATGTGATCAAGGATAGCCAGCGCGAGACGTACAAAAAGCCCCTTCAACGGTGACGTGCCTTACGTTGATAGTTTTACTGCTTTGGGGTTAGAAAATCCTAGAATCTGCGCAGGAAAAACCTGCAAATTGAGTTGAGATAGAACACCGTTTTGACCTGTCGCCTTGACCGCACCTATGATTTACTTGGCTTGTATAGGAGTGCACTATCAATCAAATCTTGATTGACTTAATGATATTGCCGTGTACAGGAAAACGAGCCAGGGAACGAAGACACCCACCGAATGTAATTTTTCAAAATGGCTACATATAAACATCCCAAGTCCCTGACTATTTCCTACCAAGAAACCTCTTTTTGCTCTTCTGATATTAATTCCCAACTATCTGAATAATTGGTAAGACAGCGTCCCAAAAGACTAGCGACAAGAAGCTGAGATACACTAGTATCAACAGTGCGTTCAGGATGCCTTCTCAGATTGTTAAATGCCAGCATTGCGGGCAGAATGTCTCTACTACCCAGACACGGTGTCCATTCTGCGACAAGCGCCCGCATGGTCCGGCTACCACCTTACCCACTTCACCAACCAAATAAGTATATCGTGAGTGATTTGCCAATAAGCACTCAGCTTTTCACCTATGCAGTTTTGACATTCCAAAGGACTCAGCGCCCACCGAGGCTTACGAAATCCGCGAAGATAAAAGAGGGGTTTCATTCAGGTCTACGGAATTCTGCTTAGAAGGATATCTCTGGCAATCTTAAGTTCCTAGATCAGCTTGGATGCGTCTACACAGTTATCTCATTTATTGACCAATATTCACTCCTTTCTCAATGGACCCATTCCTCCAAAGCCCAACCAGTTATGGTGCAATAGTGCGTCAACCTAAGGAAACAATCTCCTAAATAGTGCAAGTAAAATTCTGGGAAGATTTCAAGCCAGCCAAAAGATGTAAAGTGCAAAGTGTAGCAAAGGGAGTTTCGTTCGGTGATATATGGATAGGGCCTAGGAAGCCCAACAAACATTACTGCGGCAAGATACTTCTAACTAGGAAGAGTTATTTATGTCCGGATACATATCCCAGGATCCAGGGCTTGGTTGTAGATTTCACGCTATTTGAGTACAGCTCGAAAATGTAAGAAGTTTTACTAGTTCACCATTTGCTTGTCTGCAAAAAGCGCAGTAATCTCGGAATATCATCCACTTCATCGCCTATCGCAGAAGAGGGGCCAAGTCGCTTATAGAAAGGGGCCTCAAAAAACTGTGGGAAGAACCCTGCGTACTCCCAATCGATGATAGCCTTAATCTTCAATGTGCACGGATCCACAATGATATTCGGCTGAGATAAGTCATTGTGACAGAAAACATAAGCCTGGCTATCAGCGGTGTGTTGAGGCCAGACTTCATCATCCGTACATTCAACCACGCGGCTGGGAGGAATGACGATTCCGGAAGGTCCGCCAGTTTTGTTTGACTTGATCCCACGAAGGGTGTGTAGGTGCTGGCAGAGTTCGCCCTGAACGATCACTTTCTGACCTTCCTCAAGCTCAGACATAGAGGAGCCCTCGATGTATTCCGTGACCACAAAATACGCGCCGTCGACTTCGAATGCGCCGTACACAATTGGAACGGGAATATCACTGATGCGACGGATGAACCGTAGGCTCTCAGCCTCATTCTCGAGCCTTTCTCTATTCAGCCGTGGGACGTAGGTTGTTCCCTTTTGTGTGGTTATGTATTCGCTTGGTCGCAAAGTTCGTTTGATGAAAAAATTGCCTCTGCGGTAGTATCCCCTCTCGGCAGTTGTGTCACTCCAGTCATCAGGTGAAGAGGTAAAAGCAACATGAGACAAATATTGATTCGGCAGATTGAAGTCAGCCATCTCATAATTCTGAATGTTCGAGTGAATAGGGGAATAAAGAAATCAAAGGTGTCGCCAGTGTGCGGTTGGGTAAGTATTGCAAAGATGGGATGAAAGAGCGGTGAAATGCGACGAGCCATAACCTCCTTAACCTGGGATTCTGACTTGCACAATTCAGCGTACTGAAGGACCGGAATCGAGATACTCGCACTTTTTACCCAGTGCAGAGTGGGCCGCTGCACCAAAGGCTGGTATAATATGATAGAGCGATGGGATCCGCACTAATGGCTGGCGGAAAGGGAGTAATACACATGGATGACTAGCCAGGATGCAGACTATATCTGCTCTAATGAAATTCAAGAGCCCGACAGCAATTGCCGACACAAGGATCAGCAGAGACAGCCAGTAGTACATGTGCAGGTTTTATCTGCAGTTCACTGATGAGGACATACAATACTTAGATTTAGTATGTGCCTGTCGCAAAATTTCAGGAGTAAGGATATGGCTCGCGTTAATTTCTTTTAGCGGTATTGCACTACCTGTAAATTACGGTGGCTTTTCCTAACAATACATGCCTGGCCTACTTATCGCTGTTTTCTGGTGTCTTGTAACTTTCCCAAATACTGTAAGTGGAATGAATGGGTATTGAAACGGGATATGCATAGATCCATGGAGCCTACAATCCTTTCCTACCGAGACAAGCTCAATTGTTCAAATCACTTAGCCTATTTTCGAGCATACTGCGATTCTTGGGCGGTTTCTTGCGAATTTAAATAGAGAAACTACACCCAGGGAAGGGTGTGTAGAACCTCGATACAGCATGATGTGACTCATTACTAAAATGGGATCGGGCCAAGCTTCCGTTGTGAGTGCAGTGTTCCGGCTTTTGGGAGTTACTCATAGCAGTGACAATATCAAAACTCGTCACTTACTCATCGACGGGTCTGGGATGCTGTAAGTCCATGGATCTACTATTACTGGTGATTCTGCTTTAACCATACCCAGACTACCAGGGCAGTTGAATTTCCAAAATTCCTCTAGATCGATATTGTCTGCCGTTGAGAGCCTCCCCATCGGCTCAATTCTGGTGCTTTGGGAAAGCAGCAGGTATTATCAAACACAGCTTCTTCCATTTATATCTCGCTAATTCGCTTAGTAGATGTCATAGCACACAATCAGACTGCGCAAAAATATTGCCTACGGAAGGCCCAAATATACAGATAATCATATTCAAGGTCCCGCACGAAGAGCAGAACTCAGGCCTATGGGGAGCTTTCTACACTTTTGTCTCAGATTTACTCCCACGCACTTTATCACAATGGCCCAAGCAACGATTCTTTAACGATAATACGTCCAACCGCCTCGAATTCTACGACAAGAATATACGACCAAATGTTACGGAGAACGATAAAAAGAGAGTTCAATGCCTCCTCCGTGTCTATGCGGATACGAAATATGGAGAGCTTGGTTACGCAGTTGGTGATGACGACATTTTGGAAAGCATCTTCTTTAATGTGCACCTTGCGATTTTCTCCGGCAACATCTCTTATTCCTTGTGAAATGATCATTTCGGCACACACTCGACTAATTCTTGCACGTACACCTCGTCGCCACTATTGAGCGAAACCATATCGAATTAGTGGATTGTTTCTTGGTCAAGAAACTAAACTCCGGTCACAATCTTTCTTTTGCCATCATTTCCGGGCTCGCAATAGATCAACATCAATGAAAGTTCTAAACATGCTTCTCACGAGTCGAGTAAACCATGCACATTTTTTTCGGTCTTTTGGGCCCCGACTTAAAACCCTATTCTTCGAGAAAGGGATTCTATATATAGGAGTTGAAACGGCCAGGCTCAGGACTTAAGAAAAGCGAGATAAACTATTTTGATTTATATATCCAAACAATAGGGAATGTTTGAATAAGCACCATGATAGTGGGTTTCTTCAGTCCCACCATTACCGTAAACTGCTAGCATTGACGGGTATTGCAAACAACTCCCATCACATGAATATGCAAGTGGTGCAGTCTGGAAACTGGTAGGCTTTGTCGAGGTTCTGAGGTAATAAGAGTTGCAACGTTCGACAGTGAAATGGGGAGCAAATTGAGTCGACTCCCACGAAATAGCCAATTCATATAGCTCAGCGGAGTTGGTGTTTTGTTTATCCATGTGGGAAACCTGGCTGCGAGGCATAATATCTTTGAAAAGTCTCCGGATTTACGTTTGGACCATTTGACAGTCTTCATTCAGAAGCTCACCCCCTCCTGTTCCTGTGAGTCCTTCGAGCACCTCTTGTCTCGCGTGATAAACGATCTCGCGTGATAAACGAACTCATTTACGGTCTGGGGAAAATTTGCTTGCGACCTGCCAGATAAAGTCTTAATGTTGTATCCCCCAGAGAGCATCGACAGAATGGTCCGGTGGGCACGGATTAAACATTCAATTGTCTCAAGCGTCAACTTGAACATGACTTTATGCTCCACACGCATATCAACGTAGACGATAAGCCGTGAATTTGTACAGAAGGTAAAACGTGTGCCGAACGGCCCCCAAGCTTTTCCAAGATTGAGTCGGGCTCAAAGGAGCATAATGGCCAGGTCGCGGTCCTTGAGGATAGGAGATCCTTGAGGTAATGAATGCGGTCGTTCCGGGTAGCCAACGAGCGTTTTTCGTGATTCAAACGTTTCAAAACCCTTTCCAGTGGCGTTCTTGGTTCGAGATCTAGCACTAGGATAGGTGGCGGTCTCCCCTTAGAAAGATCAGAGGGCGCAGCCGTAGAGGGAAGTAACAGCCTAGACATCACGGCCAGGCCTTGCAGGGACGCAGTCAGCTGGAGATTCGCATTTGAAGAAGGTTTGTGATTTTAGGCCAAGTTGCAATATCCTGGCCAACTCCCATCTCCACGCTAAACCTAAAGGGTGGGCTGTTCCAGGTTGCATTGATTGGGAGATTAACCGATGACATGGTAAGCAGAACAGCCCCTGCTTTCCAATTACATACTTAGCTGTACAAGCGGTGACTGGAGCATACTTCTGCAGGTAGAACTCCGATGTTTGGCTAGTCGAACGTGAGTAGCTAGCTAGGAGACTGGTGCTCCTAGAAAATAAGGTTCGGTCCAGCGCCTATGTATTGAAATAAGGGGGCTAACGAGGTCGAAGTGATCACTCATAAACCTCAATTTAGGTGGGTAAGTGTACTACACTACTAGGCCTCAGTGCTTGCTTGAGAAATGTGTGCAAAGGGTAACAGATGAGCACCAGGTTTCAGCCTGTCCGCAATATAGTGACTCTATTGTTTAAGTGTCTAGGAGACATTTCCTCTCGTCCGACCGGGCCTCCAATATCTGCTCTAATGATCCCGAAGGCTGACTGAATTAAGGGGGGCGTTTCCTGAGCCAGTAGGCGGGTATATCGATTACTGCATCCCACTGACCCTAACGCTTTTCCATGTTTGTTGGGAGCGCAGGTCTCGGTGCACTGGTAACTTTGCAATTTATAATTACGACCTTGGTGAGATAATACGGCGACTTGTAGTGGATGAAACAGTCTCGCCCCAAAAGTCGTAATTTCAACTCAATAGTGACGCTTTATAGAAATAGTACTGTTCGCCAAGCATGTTTCCTCGGTTACACCTCGCCTAGAGCAGCTTAGGCGCTATGCCTGAGACTGGAAGGCAAAGGGCGCTTGGATAGTGCTTTCCAGTGGTGTTACATTGAAAAAATTTCGAAGCCCGGCATCAGATATACCACGACGACCAGAGCGAACACCGAGTTGCGCTTCTTCGAGGAAGGAAATATATCTGACCGATGCAAAGGGATTCTTTCGGCGAGGGCAAGTGCCACTTCTGCAATGCGTTAAGGTGGCAACGGAGGTATATAGGACGACACCGAGTGGGTAATTATTGCCTGACTTCACATCTTGTAATGCACTTCATATAACTATATTACAATTTATATAGAAAGAGATGGCAACGTAAAAAGGTGGATAGTATAATACTCGTCCCTCAACCAGCTGTGCCAAAGCCTAAGTGAGCCCGCATAAAAGGGGTTATTGTGTCATGGTCAAGCCGATTCAACAATAGACTATAAATGCAGTCTGCAAGTGTTGGCTGTTCTCAAATCATAGTGCATTAAATATTTAGACTAAAGGAATGACTTCGTTGCAAGTTATTTCTTTGCGTCGTTTCACCTAAAGGACCATATCACGAACGAACCACCGGGCGGCACCTACTTTCACGCCATGCTTGACAAAGAAACGTAGGTCTTAATAAAGTTGCATAAGGTTCAGACAATGCTCGTGTTATATTACCGTACAGCATCTTCAAATCTCGGGTCGTAGAATGTTAAGAGCCCCACCCACTAGATAAAGACTGCCTGTTATGAGAACTTGACTTTGTGTATCCGAGGATCCTTTCTGTCTTGCAAGTTGGATGGCTTCTTCAATGGTCTTTGCAATTGAAACTTCTGCTGGCTGGTTTCGGGCATCCAGCTGCCCCCATAAAGACGAATACGAATCGAGATGACCAGACCATGTGAACTCAGGGTCTTTGAGAATTTTGCCTGTAGAGAGAGTTCTTTTGTTAAAAAAAAAAAAAAAAAAAAAAAAAAAACCATGAAAGGGACTGGAGAACCAACTGAATCTTGTTAAGTCATCTGTTCTCTCCTGGTATGTTGTGAAGATAACATGATCTGGTGGCGTATTATTGGAGAACAAAGATTTCGTTAATTCCCTTAGAAGAGCTATACCGTCTCGTTCTTCGGAGAAATGTGTGAAAATAAGGACACGACAGCTTAGCCAAGTGTATTAGTAGGCTTTTTCTTCCAAAAAAAAAGATTAGTACTTACCCCACAGGGCAATTTCGCGTCACATTAGCATACCACTCGGCAGCCTGACCCACACTCAACTCGTTATGCGCGCCGTCCACGAGCCACGTAGTAGTAGCCTCCGTGATGATCTCAAACCTCCCGGGCCAGGAAAAGCGCTCCACACCGCACGATATATCGCCATTTGTGAGCATGTTTCCAGGCGCTTTCGCTTGTAGCAAGATCCTAGAAAGCTCAATGGCCAACGAAAAATTTATCCGTTGTACAGGCACACCAAGAACTTCAACATCGTTCGGAAGTAGGTTATTGTTGACTGGGACAAAGTCCAACGTGGTTCCCTTTTCCTCAGCTCGTTTCTTCATAACATCCCTGGGGCCTTGTTCTTGCTGGACAGAAAAAGCGGGAGAGCCGGTCTTGAATATTCCAGCTTTGTGCCAGGCAATGTCTTCCACCGTGGGGCCTAGCTGCGCGACATGATCCAGACCAAGGGATGTGACTCCTGAAACAACAGGTCTTTCTATAACATTCGTAGCATCATATTCCCCGCCATGGTGTGTTTCAAAGATTGCCGCCTCGACCTTTTCGCTGAGGAATGTATGAAAAGCCGTGAGAGCTAGCAACTGCAAAAAGCGCGGTTGCCCAGCAGGTTGTATATTTGGCTGACCATCAAGAAAAAGACGTTCCCAAACTTCAAAGAAATATTTGGTGAAAAGGTCTTCTGTGATAGGCTGGTCATCGATTTGTATTCTCTCCCGAATGCATCGTAAATGAGGAGAGGTATAAAGCCCGATACGCCGGGGAAAGCCTGTCCTCAATCCGTGGGCTCGAAGAAGACACCGAGTAAATGCACATGTGCTTCCCTTGCCTTTTGTTCCAGTGATGTGCACGATATTCAATCCATTGATGTCCCTTTCCTACGACAAGTGAGATGACAGCGTAAATTCACAATACAACCATATGCGTACCGTATAACCAAGTATTCCTAGCCATTCCTTCATGCCGTGAAGGCTCGGTAACCCTCGCGGATGATAGTTGTTTTCCCGTGACCCTCCCGAGGACGCAATAACAGCTGCAGGTCGACCATTGCGCCGTCGCGTTTCAAGGAGCCTGAGCGCACTCTGAAAACCATTAGAACCAGAGAATTAAATAAGCCAACAAGGGGGGTGATAAATACCTCGTAATTCCGTTGCATGGGGAGCACTTCACTGACGGTTTTGATCTTCGTGTGGATGGATACTGGAGGAAAGTGCTGGGGAATATTGAATTTCGGTTTGTTGGGGTCATATCACGTGATAAAAATAATTCTCCGCGGTAAATTTCCTTAGGGAAATGTTTGTGGTACCGAGTTTTTAGGAATATATATCCATTTAATATAATAATAAACAAAATTTACCCGTGGGGCACTCTTACGAAATAAATTCTGTACGCATAACAGTGCTTATCGGTCGGAGCTAACAAACTCGAATCTCCAAAGTGTGGATCGAGGAAAGTTTGGCATGCACCAATAAAAATTAATATTAGAACTGAATAAAACGAGATCAAAGTGTCTGCACCAATCAGTATACTACTTGCGGCCAGTCCACCATCCCACCGTCTACATCCATATACAGGGCCAAAAACGAAGTCTGCGCCAATGAAATTTCCTTGACCTGCATTTTGGGCTATCCCTTGGGTGATGCAGCCTTGCATGTCGTTGGTTCTTTCTCTCGTCATTTAGCGCTGCTCACTGAAGACTCGGCCGCCTACCCTAATGATCCAATTAACCCTAGGAGAATAACTGAATATGGAATACATATCAAATAGAAAGGAGGTCTGAATTCCTTGGTCCCGTTGTGTGTTCATGCGTGCTAGTTCCACTTAACGGCGGAGTGTCGAAGCGAAATACATAATCCACGATAAACCAAAGTACATTGGTCAAAGCCTCACCTGCAGAGGTATTTACCTTGGATAGTGAGATAAAGGTTGCGTTTTGGTTGAACTGCCAGGGATGGCCATTTCCTACCAAGTGCTTTATGGGATATACTGATATCTTTATGCTTCCAAACTCTTAAAATTATTGCAAGTCAGAGCTTTGGACAAGGCAGAGGTCATAAATGTGCGATAAAAACAGACCTGGTTCACCTTACTCCTGAGAACGATGAAGAGACGCATCAACCAGGGAAGAGCAGGAATGATGTTATAATAGTGCATAGGCATAGCAGGGAAGCAGTGGGCATGGAGAATGCTGATGATGATGGTAGATGCTGGAGTCAGCTCCCTATCTACCGCAGTGATAAAACCGGGGAGCCTTGGAGGACAGGATTTCCTGTTCCTTTTCGCGAAATCTTGTAGAGAGAAAATCATGGTGTTTATCGGAATAGTACCTGGGTATTTTCACCCTATCGAGGAAGGTCAGAGCCGATCGGTCTGATTTGTCAACCATATCCATAGTCTCCAGGGCTCCGAACGGGGAATTTAGCGAGGGCTAGTGTGGTATAGATAGGCTTTGTGCGGAAAGCGAACTGGTCGCATGGTAGGTGTTGAGTTAGGTAGGTCCGCGAAGATTGTACTATTTTTGTGAGGCGTCTTGCTTGTGGATTACGTTCAATGGTCAAATATTAACCACGTCACGGCATACAATTTAGATTCTTGCCTTTTATCATGAAGCGCTGACACAGAAGATCATTTTAACCAGTTAATACAGACGAGCCCCTGGAGCAAAACTTGTGCAAGGAAGTTTCAGCACCTCTTATGGGAGCGAACTACCAACCCGTTAGAAGCCACAAAGTATTCACGGGGCAACATTTTATCAGCAGCTAGCAGATTGACAAATTCGCAGCTCTATCCGAGATTTGTTTCAAATGATACCTGATACCATGTTCATTTGTGCCAAAGAACTGTCCAATAAGTCCAAAAAGTCCGATCCAACGCAGGTGAAAAAATACTCTCGCCCACATGAAGCGAATTGGAGTTTCGCTTTGCGTAGGTGATGGTGTGCTTTGTTGAAATCGTTTTGTCTGGAAGCAAGATCGCTCAAGCAGTAATCGATGACCACTTCCAGGAAAGGAGTAATCTGATGTTTGGATGGACGGTAGCACGCGGGTATTCTGAGATTTTCCCAAAGAGTGGTCGCTTCCTTGAGTTGTCCTTTCAAATAAGAAACAAGAGCTTTTCCAAGCAAAGCTCTCAAATGCTCGAAACGAGAGGACCAATCTCGCTTTTGGTTCACATCAACTTCTGATACCAATTGACCAAATATAGCGTCTGCTTGGTCCAAAGCAGGAAGATTTGGATCATCGCAAGCGGTTCTTGCAGATATTCTACCAAAAATAGCCTTTGATACCAGTGTCTCGGCGAAGGTAAGCCGTAGCAAGCGAAATCGCTTTTGACGTCTTGGAAAGATACCTTGCTCGCGTAGGTCCTCGTAGCCTTTGACAGCCCAAAGTGACCAACTTTCTGCTTGCTGGAAATTGTGTAATTCGCAGAGAGTCGCAATATGATGTGACCACAAACTACAGCCAGTTTCATCAAAATTTGAACCCAAAATATCGGTGAGTCGAGTGAAAATCAAGGATGCGGAACGGAATTCAGCTTTCCATCGTTGGATCCTACCCAAAAAGAATTCTCTCAGGTTCAGTTCATGCTGTTCCATTTCACTTGGATTGAATGGATCCCAGGCATTAAATTTTCCCAGTATCTCTACCGGTTCCTTCAGCTTAGAAGGATCGGACATGATACAATCCTGAGCTTGAGATCGTAGAATTGCGCCGCATATTGAATTTGAGCGAGGGTCGATGGGATGTGACGTTGCACCTTCACAGTTCGTTGTATCGAAACGAATACCTTCCAGTCTGCGAGAGATGTCTCTTTTTCTGAGTTCTAAAAGACCTTGGAGGTAGGTTGTGTCGTTTTCTTCGATGCCTGGCTTTGAATCGAGAATGTCGGTGGCCATGGTCAGGGCTTCTACTTTCCAACAAGTGCCGGGGATTTTAGACGACAAAATCAGGGCCAAAAGAACCCGAAAGCCTTCGAAAGGGTTTTCAATAATCATTGACTTCAAGTTCGGACATTTTCGAATTGCTGCCTGAAGTTGAGGCAGTAAGACACGACCAGTATCGGCAAACCTAGAAGTAATCAGCTGAGTGGAATGAGAGGAGATTTCGTTAGAGGGCCTTACCATGGTTCTTCCAAACGACCTGGAAATGCGTGAGAAACAAGCACGAGCCGTTGCCATTCAAGGTGTGGGATTGGCGCTCCTTGAGCGGCAAAGATTTTTCTAACGCCTTGCGGAATTACGAGCAGAGTTCGATCGAATTCACCCGGTTTCTCCAAGATCAGTCGCTTCATGAGAAACATCAAGGTGAAGTCATACGCTTTCCCGGAAACTAGATCATCGAAAATATGGATATAACGTGGAATTTGCGTGCGCAATGATCTCCCGTTACAATCCCATCCTTCATTCTGCTTCATCATGCGAAGAACTAGAATTTCGGGAATATCATCGTGTCCGAGCTCACAAAGAAAGTTAAAAAATGTTTTTGCAGCATTGGATGTTTTTCGCCAGAACGTTTCCAGGTTCTGCGAAATAACTTCAGTGTCTTCGCTAATGGCTGGTCGTTCTTGGTTTTCAATTATTGGGACCTTTCCTTGGTTAGGCTCTTCGTCTAAGGTTAGGTGCTTTCGTTTGGTTGGGACCGTAGAGTCCAAGTCATTTGCTGCTAAGAAGGATATCAATTCAAGGCTCCGATGAGAGTAGACCGACTTACATACGCCAATCGTGGTCATAAACCTCCCAATGCTTGAGTGCATCCCATGGAATCTCCTTTGCAATAAAGAAGATTATTTGCGCATAATCCCGTGACCTCAATCGTGGGAGATCGCGCTTTTTAGCCGCGCATCCCATAAGAATCGCCGCTCGAGCACCCAGTAGATGTGAAGTGAGCCACAGAGCGTCGACATACATTTTGGAACTCTTTATATCTGAGTTTGGCATGTGTTGAGAGATTGTTACTTTTGTCTCCTGAATCTCAGTCTTGTACCGCTTGGTCGCAGCGTAGCTGTCTCTGATGAATTGTGAGGCGCGATCTTGCAAAGAAGTAAGAAATTGTTCCAAAAACGAATTGCTCTCTGATTTGGAATCGCGCAAATAGCTAGTGAAAAAGTGGCCTTGCAACATCAGTTTGCATCTCTCGCTTTCGCTCATGCTGCTTCTGTCCGGTAACTCAAGCCACGAATAGGGTTGGCCAAGGGTGGGTAACCGGAAAAACAGTAAGTTTAGAGGGCTTTGGTCCATGTCGATGATAAAACCAAGATGTACAGCGTAAGGATATGATAATGGGATTCTGTTCTGTTGCGAAAAGAAAGGGGCTTGAGGCACTCCTATGGTGGTCACGACGAGGGACCGTGCGCATGCCTAGTTTAGTCCACAATCACATCACATACAGTGACAGTGCAAATTTATCGACACCCCTACCTGACCCACTTCTAGACTCCCTACTTTCGTAGCACGCTGAATATCTGTTGTTATCCCCAAAATTATTATTTTCGCTATACCACATCGATCGGAAATGACGCCTTTGGTTCCAGAGCACAGTTTCGAGCTCTTCAAAGCACCTAGGTGAGGATATAACCAAGGAATTAATTCCTATGTTTTTTTATACGGCATACGGCAGAATATTATATGATGTGGGGAGGGTGCCGATAAATTTGCACTACCACTGTATGTATGATGGGTGTCGCGGGCTTAAATTAGCAATTCAGTTTCATTTTGAGGATTCTAGCCACATCGCGGGCCTAGACATGGAAATAAAAAAAAATAAAAAATTCAAATCCAAAATCAATCCAGATGGTTGACCAGTTGAAATTTTTGGTTCGCTCTGGATTATTAGTCTCACGTGAGCCTTCCTCTCAGCCGACACTACGTCTAAAGGGGCTAGCTCCGTGGTATGCATAGACAGATTGAAAATTGTTCACAAGGTTTCTTGAATTGACTTTTTTTGGGCGTGCCTTGTTCTGTTTTGTACGCTGAACCTCCTGCCAAAAGAAGACGTGAATCTCCGAGTGCTGGCTAGTCTGCTGTTCGAAAATGAGATATATCCAGCGCCTATATATGAAATGAGGGGGCTCACGACGACAAGGGGCAACTGGGACTTGAAACACGATGATATCCAATCAAATCGCGCAGATTGCATCTGCACCAATTACCAGCGTGATGAAGGATATATGTAAAGCCAACACGAAGTGCGTTGTTTCTGTTTTATACTAATTATGAGAACCACAGAGAGAGTAATATGTGTGCGTAGAAGATAACCAGCGAGGGATATGCAGAAAGGCCCCTCAACGGTCATGGGCCTTACGTCAATAATTTTATTACTTTGCTTAAAAAGATGAGGTGAAAGAGCGGTGAAATGCGACGAGCCATAACCTCCTTAAACTGGGATTCTGACTTGCACAATTCAGCGTACTGTGACGGACCGGAATCGAGATACTCGCACCTTTTACCTAGTGCAGAGTGGGCCCCTGCACCAAAGACAGGCATGATATGATAACTAGCTAGGATGCAAAATATCTGCTTCAATGAAGTCTAAGAGCTCGACAGCAATTCCCGACGCAAGGATCAGCAGAGACAGCCAATAGTACATGTGCAGGTTTTATCTGCAGTTCACTGAATGGCAAAACTATCTGGGATAGAACCCCTCGAATACACGATGATTACCAACTTCGTGTTCTAAAATAGCGGGCTCGAAAACGCCGCGCCGTTGACGAATAACAGCATTGGGTGCGCGACCCTTGTGCATCACCGTAGATTAAGTAACCTTTAGATTATATCTATCATTCAACAATTCTTCTAGGTCTGGTTTGATCCATAAGACGTATATGTGACCCTACAGCACCTTCACCTCACATCCCCTAACCCCCTGTGAGAAAGAATTCGCGACCTAACGGAGGATTCAATTTAGGCATCTGTCTGTTAACTAACGTATTCGGTAAGCGAGCGGGCCACCCCAAAACACATAGTAAATGCGATAAAATACAACCTCGAATCTCGATATTTATCATTTAAGAATTATATTTAACTATATAATTCTATTATATGCAATCATCCTATTATACTGCATCAGTCTAAGCCTTATTAATATAGTGGTTGGGGAGATATATATATATCTTTAGATATTGTCAAAATTATAGTGTATTTTTTTTTGTAATTTCGGTAGAAAATCATTTAATTTATCTAAGACCCAAATATAATTCTATGAAGGTCCTGATATAACTCTACTCTCAATACCAAAGAGAACCAATATTTTGTTGATGAGATAGACAATGATATTTACTATGTGTTTTGGGGTGGCCCGCTCGCGGGTATTGATAGGGACACCCCAACTTTTTCGCCATTGGCACCCTAAAACGCTTATATAAGCAAATTATCTTCCATTATTTCTTAATTTATATTTTATAATCATATTTATAGGATTTTTATTAGTGCAGCTATGCTAGATATATAATCAATACTCTAATTTCTAATAAGTAACGAGAATTATATATATATATATATATATATATATATTGTAATCGGGGCTTATAAAATATAAATATAAAGTCTACTCCGCGAGCTGAAGTACAAGAACCGAGATAGACCACTAGTGTACTTTTAAGGTTATATAGGTCATGTGATTATTTCTTGCGTTGAAGAGATTGTATTATTTCTATAGATATAGAAGGGGTAAAAATAATTAAAAATAAAACATAAAACATAAAAAAATAGACTAATAATATAATGAATATATTATTTCTAAATAAATGCTTTAACCACTTGAAATAGTTATAAGTTAAAAATATCATGTGATTAGTGTTGTGGTTAAAAAATTGTCATATAATTAGAAATAAATCGAGGAAAAAGATTATGTCAAAAGAGATGATATATGCGTTTTGGGGTGCCAATAGCGAAAAAGTTAGGGTGTCCCTATCAATACCTCCTGCTCGCTTACTGATTACATCATGGCTCTCGGAAGCCCTTAGTCATGCCCACCCAGGAAACTAACTTACAGGCTTCGAGAAGGAAGAGATATAATCAAATAAGAGAGCCACTTCCGAAAATGGTACTCAAAGGTGGGGTTGGCGGAGACGGACCAAGATGTGAAGCCAAGGCCACCAGAAAACAGTTGTTCAATAACAAGCTGCTTTTTCACTCAATGATCTACTCAAAAAAAGACAAGACTAGATCAATAAAAGCACCTACCTTTTTTTTTTTTTTTTTTTTTTTTTCGGCATCCAGCGCTACTAGCGCAGAGTATAGTTGATGGACGAGCGGCAAATGAAGAGACAGCAAAAGCGAGCACGATACGAACGAGTTGTTGCAGGCCTATCCCGAAGCCAGTTGAACAGGCACCGCCATTTGCTATTTTGCCACCCCCACCAGCCAAACATGCAGACATACTAAAAAATACTGATTGAATACTACTTAAAATAATATTAAATAGCATTAGAAAACATGAAACAATGAAATAATGAAACCGTTAGTGGGAAGAAAGGCGGGCCAATTAGTCAAAGACAGCCTAAAATAACTAGAAGTGGAAGACAAGTTCAATGTTCACTTGCTTCTCTTCTTATCACCTGTCTTTTGGGATTTTGGAAGTTCGACATTTCTGGAGCCCTGAGCTCTACAGCCCTGACAGGGGTTCATTTCATTGCCCTTGGGCCCATCTCATCATGTCTGGCTCTCCACCTGACCCGAAACCGTCGGCGATCCCCTCCTATATGCTGAACGGCAGCAATCCGTTATATGCTCCTGGGGGAACTCACGAACGCGAGAGTCTTAATTCCTCTATTCGATTTTCTCTTGCGCCCCTCATCCCTATTAAGTTCGACTTCCCCGTGGCAGAATCTGGTCACGTTGATATCAGCGAAACTCTAGCAGTTCGCAGCCCGGTGGCCGCGCGGTATGTTTTCTACACAGAATTCAACATGGTCACTTCCCTCCCACCCCCCCCCCTTTTTTTCTCATAGCGACGATCTGACACTTCATTTGCAGTGGCCAGTCTATATTAAATGCCCAGCCCCGCGACCCCGGAGATGAAGGCCCATTGACGCTTCCCGCGACCGTGAGCCGACCCGCCAGTCCCTACATATTGAACCCTCCGATCGACTTTGACGGACTCAGTTGGCCTTGTAAGACCCACGCCCTTCTTGCTTTTCTCTTTATTTTCTAAACCAAAGTTGCCACCCAGGCCCTGGAACCCGACAGCGATTGGAATCGACACTCGAGGAGACCGAGAATCGGCTCCAAAAGCTGGCGGGCGCCGTGCAGACGATCCTGGAATGTGTCGGCGAGGACCCGGAAAGAGACGGTCTTCTTGGAACCCCTGAGAGATACGCCAAGGCCATGCTTTTCTTCTCAAAAGGTTACGAGGAGAACGTTCGGGACTTGGTGAATGGGGCGGTTTTCCACGAGGACCATGACGAATTAGTCATTGTCAAGCATATTGATGTTTTCTCCCTGTGCGAACATCACATGGTCCCCTTCGGCGGAAAGGTATAGCTCGCTGCGCCGTACATTTTGCCATCGAATCATTCTGACCATGTAGGGCAGATGCATATCGGTTACATTCCGGATCGCCGAGTGCTTGGACTATCCAAATTGGCTCGTCTGGCGGAGGTGTTCTCTCGCAGACTCCAGCTTCAGGAGCGTCTGACCAAGCAAGTTGCCCTGGCGATCTCCGAGGTCCTCAATCCTCGCGGTGTTGGTGTCGTCATGGAATCCGCGCATCTATGCATGGTCATGCGAGGTGTGCAGAAGGTCAGCAGCAACACCACCACTAGCTGTATGCTGGGCTGCATGCGCACGTGTGCCAAATCCCGGGAAGAGTTCTTGACACTTTTGAACCGGGGATGATCGTGGCAACTCGATATCGATCGATCCATTAGAGGACATTTCTGCGGTCGAAAAGGTTGCCGGCGTGCTTGATTATTTGGAACGATCCGATACAGAATTTCGGGTTTCTTCTTGGAGGGTTTTGTTGCGGGGTTTCTCCTCGATACTGAAGATTTAATCTTTGACAGTCTTGATGAGACGGAGAAGTGGTTCAATAGCCGGTTTTCGCATATGCCCCGGAGCTGACTTTCCTGGGTTGCGAGCTCGTGCTTTGGCCTCTGAATCGCCAAGAGTAGCGAGCTAGTTCATGAACAAAATCGTCTTCCGCGCCACCCCTTGGCCACCATCGAAGATGCAGGTTGAGTATTTGAGCTGTTTTCGTTCGTTCCTACGCACCCAAGTTAAAGAAAATGTCTTCCGTGGAAGAGGCCTTATGCCGGTAGGATGATTCCGAAAGCACCCATGCCTCCTTCGTATTTCAGTCTGTATGGGGGGAGGCGTCGCGGCAAAAGTAGCGAGGAATATCATCTACAACCGTCCTCCTATCCCGCTGCCTGCTTGTGGCCAGAATAGTAGTTGTTCTAACACCTTAGGCCCATCATCCAAGCAGGTATTTGCCATCGACACAAAAAGAAATGTACTTCATAATATGTAGGCCATAACGACGTTGATTCAGATGTTGGAAAGGGTTTAGCCTATATAGCGATCAAATCACTCTTCCCCATTGTCCCACCAGTAAACCCTCCCGGGTTACCTACTCGGGGTGAGGCTCGGCGGGCGCTACAGCTCGTGATAAGTTATTTCCAGCATTACCAAGCTAGTATCATGCCGCAAGAGTACGTGATCATTGGCAAACTAATGGAGCATCTTGAGTTAGGCAAAGGCTAGCAGAATAATACACCAATAGACGAGTACGGGGGTATTTCTCGTAAGCCGATTCCTCCACCCCTTCTCCCCTTCCATCCAATCTACTTTCCATATATTTAGTATTTCACGCATCGCTAGTTTTCTCCCTGTCTATGGGCCCTGTGATCTCCCTGGCCCATCCTCGTATCCCTTCATGTCTTGTGCAGTTTACCAGGATTCACTTATACCATTGATGCTTTGTCTTACCTTCCCGAGTATTTCTATTGTTGGTAGTTAGATGGTTTTTAGGTGGTCACAGCCTGGCGGTTCCGCTTTTACGTACATAGCTTCACTTTTACAACTTTAGTATTATCAACTCTGTCTCTTTCTTCCTTTGCCTCCCAAGTTTCTCTTGGTCCGCTCGTTTCCTTCCGTTTGCATTGTGACTGTACAAACTTAACCACAGCAACATAGGTGACCTCGATGCCCGTAAGTTGGCAAACACTGATTCCATATACGGAAATTGTGATCTTCATCAATAATCTGTATCATCCTGACACCATGATCTTGAACATCCAGTATGAATCATTCCCGCTGCTCGACGATGGAACCGCCTAACGTTTACCCGAGGATTGCTTGATTCGAAGACAAGTACGCAGTCATCTCTACTACCCAGAGCTTTTTGGGAGCCCTAACCGAGGATGCCTAGCTAGTGGCTGAGGATCCTTCTGTATAATATCTTAGAGGTACCGGTGTCTTGGGCTGGGAGTGCGAATCGCACCGGTTTGTAACCTCATTCTGCCTCAGTAGCTATGGCTACACCGTGTATTTGTTATACCTATTCCATGAGCGCACACAAGAAGCCAACTAGTATGCAAGTTTCGCGGTGGATCATATACGAGATCATATACGACTAAACTTCTTCGTGATTTACAGAAGCTCTATTACCACATGGATATGCGCCTATCGCGGAAAGTTGTGGACAACAGAACAACAAGCGGTATATAGTTCAAGGCATCGCCTTCCGATCTTGCTATAATTTGAATGTAGAATTTCACCCAAAAGAAAAAGATAGCCACTGATGCTTAAGCATGCTTAGTATAGGCGATTAATTCAGGATGCGGTGGATACTTCTGCTGGATATCACGGTCTCCATCACATATGAGAGGTCTATGAGGCCCTGGATGGTCGAGCAGATTATGGCCAATGAGGGACTATATCACTATAGAATCTCACATATGTGGATGGCTGAATCAAGTGTCTTGATCTGATCACCCCTGTCAAAGCATCTTGACATTGGAAAAATCACGACATCAGCAATATGATAATCAAATCATCGAGAGCTGAGGCATCGATGACATACAGGTCAGAATCTTGAAACACCGTGAGTAACTCATGGGTGAGGACGGCCAACATTGACTATTGAGGCAATGGGACAGTTCAGCATCATAGAAGACTATTATTCTTCAATGACTGATATAGGATAGAGGGTATAGAAGTCGAGAATCGAAAGACAGCAGCAAACCTTCGCTCGGATTTCATAAGCTCAAGATGGGCATAATTACAGCATAGCCAGCGTGACGCCACCTAGAGGGGGCCTGAACTTTGTTCCAAAATTGGACAGGGGATTTCCAGCAAGCTAGCCCATACGTCGCCGTTTTCTAATTCCTTTAGTAATATGATGAAATATTACAAAATATTACGACAATATTTTATTCGCGCCTCATAGAATCTGTTCTAGACTCGTGAGCGCTTGATCTTCGAAATTAGTACATACAGGGGTTGTACGTTGGTGCGGATAGTGGGGCCGAGTCCAAGAACGAGGTTCCTCCGCGATCGACCACCACGTCAATGTTCCCGGGGTCGTATTTCGGATCGCTCTTTTACCTACCGCATAATGTTAACCCAACCCACTGTCTTGGGGTTTTGCTAAAATCGTTTTGTTGGTCGTGGCAGGGGTCGCGGCTAGTGGCAAACTCTGTCAAGGGACTCACCTAGATTGTTCTTTCTAGTACTGAACTCCACCAGAATATATTTGACCATTTCTACTAGCCCAGCTTTACTCATAGGGCTAGAGACGTTCACTGTTGGCAAATTAGCCCTCAGTAATATCGTAAATATCAGCTGATATCTCCACTTTTGTGCTTCCCCCTGATGCCACACTCGAGCATCCTACATGCCAATAAAAAGCCGCTCGATATCCTCAAGTCTCTCCCCTTTGGACTCATTATCACCGACTGCTACCATTCCCTGTAGCGAGAATCCACTAGCTCCGCTTCTCCCATAGTCTGCAGATGGAAGACAATTATCCGCAATTTCGCGGTGCAACGCCTCAGACAACGCATCTGACATCAAGTGACCGCATGGCTCTACCACTCGACAACATAGACTTCGACCAGTCTACCTTTGCCAATCACCTCCAGGTCTCCAACGACATGACCTATAATTATGCATCCAATCATTACCCCCATCAGGCGTCTATGCTGCAGTACAACCAGAGCTCTCCGAAGACGGGCTATCCACTTGAACCCGCCCCCAATCCTTTCTTGTTTCAACCAACCTCTTACCTGCCGGAGGGGGTCTCTAACTCGGTGTCAATGTCCGATATGCTTCCGTTGATGCCATCGAACAGATCCATGGCTCCGCATGGCATCACCCTTTTAAATTCCTTCCCTCAGGCCCCAGTGTCTTTGTCTTCCTCCCACTCTCAGTTCCATACGAGCCTTCGCACCTTGAAGCCGAAAAAACCCTCGGCTCCTATCTCCTCTTTGGGAAAACACTCTGAGATTGGCAACATCTTTACTCAGTCTTCCGGCGGACGGCAAGAGTATAACGAGGGATTTCCGGTCTCTCCAGTGAATAGCGATAATTCTCTGCAGCGGTCTCACCACCAAGCCTCGCGCAAAAGCCCCAAGACGCGGCTCGAGAACGCACAATCTATCATGAAGCAGACACAGTTCAAGTGCAATGAGCCCGGGTGTAGGTGGTCCTTCAAGTATAAAGGCAACCTGACGCGCCATATGACGCGCCACTCCAAGGAAAGGCCTTACATCTGCAGGGTCCCTGGGTGCCACCGCACCTTCACACGCACAGATACCCTCAAGGACCACTACACGTCACACAGCAAGCGGGGTGGTCGCCACCGCTATGTTGCTAGCCTTGATCCAATGTGCGCAGACTACGACCCAGCTTTCTTCTATGGCCAGTTCAAACCTGATGGGCGCCCGCTCGATGGACACAGTCCCGCAGGTCTAATTAAAACGCAGAGTAACAAGTAAGTCCTCTCTAAATTATAAAAGGAACACTGACCAATGAGGCTCTGGAAACAGTACTTCTACGACGAACTCGAGAGGTGGAGCTGTCCCGAATAGGACATCATCACAGTCGTGGCTGGCGACTACGTCGTCTGTTGAACCAGATCCTCAACAAAACAACCCTATTGGAATACAGCTACCAATTCCAAAAGGTAAACATGTTCTATGGGTTCGTTTCGGAGTTAAGATTGACTTCTAGCAGATGAATTTAGCTCAAGGTACCCCGTCATCAACGATGTGCCTATTAGTGCTCAATACTCCACGGCCCTGCCCAATCAAAGTTCTCTACCAACAACGGAAGGTGCTTTACATGAGACCCAGCTGCACAGGAAACAAACAAACACTTCGCGATGTAAACCAGAATGCTGGGAGCACGGATGCAACGGTAGAGCGTTCTCGACTTTTCGCCATCTGCTTCGCCACCAGCGTGAGAAGTCGGGCAAAGATAGAGTGGAATGTCCCTTTTGCAAGCGTCTATATACTAGAAAGGGGAGCCGGGACAAACACGTAAAAAGGGGATGCAAATGTAAACCTCAACATGTGTTCATGGAATGATGTGCAATTGTCTTCTAAGACTATTCCAAAAAAATTATCCATTTATCGTGCGTCTATCTAGTATCTTTTGCAAAGAAGCTTCGAGCTCTCTTTTCCTAGTTGTGATTGATCATATGTAGATCTCTGACCAGATTGACCTATCCAGCCAGGACGGTGCATACTGTGAACTCTTGGACACTATCCAGTTAAGTGCAAGAACCTTGGCCTAGGGTGGATGAAGTTCGAGCATAATACCCGTATCTCGCCGTTAGGGTAGAAGAGGGAGCGCCCCAACAATAGACAAATTGTGGTCAAAATTGCCTAATCTAATTTACTCCTAAATGCAATATAAGACGGCGTAGCTTGTGGACTATTATTGCTACGGTCACGGTTGGTTGTTTGTTGTAATCTTCTCAACTATCAAGAGTCTCCAAGCTCTCGTGTATTTAGTGGAGACCATTGAATTCTCGTTGCTATATCCTATTCCTGAGACTTGTCGATTACATCTCTGCACTTCGTCGCAAGGGGTGCAAATTCACGGGCGAGCTGAGTTAGCTCAAACCGGGGAGGGTTGTGGCCGTACGTCATCCAACGGTTAAACCATCATTCATGTTAGCTTACTATTCTACTTGTGTGATATCAATCATAGAGATGAAGGGATTCCTATCTCTGGCTGAATGGGGGGTCACAAACCGTTGCGATTCGCACTCCAAGCCAGAGACACCGGTGTCTCCTGGAGATTACTGCAGACAGGCCCTCGATGGCCGGTCTGTCGTCCTCGTTCAGGGCTTCATCCAATAAGTACTCTGGGTAATATCGCTGACTCCATAGTTGCCCTCGAACGAGAAAGTCCTCGGGTAACTGTTTAGTGAAACCGTCGTCGGGAAATGGAAAAATCTCCGCTTCAATCTTTGGCAGGATCGTGTCGGGGCGGAGTAGGTTGTTAAGGAATGCCGCAATTTCATTCTTTCATTCCGAAGGAATTTTCTTCTGCAGTCGTTGCATAGCGGGCGGGTGAAGGACAAGGCACCAGAAAAAAGCCAAGGAGATGTCACATGTACCTTTGATTATGAACTGATTTTCAATCCTCTCTCCTACCTTCTCGAGTGGTCGTACGATTCTCGAATTTAATATAGGGAAAGAAAGTGATCCAAATTCAAATATTCTCAAATATACCTTCGTACGATAACAAAAAGTTGCTCCAGTCTAATCATCAACCCTAGACTGTGACCCCCTCCCCCTTGGATAGGGAACTGAACGTGGCGACCTGCTAAGCAAGACCAAATACCAGACACACAAATTTCGGTATTCAATTGGTATCCAAAAGCACCGATTAAATCTCCTTTATCCAATATTATATCGGCGGATTCCCCAAAGCTCTAGCCTCTTCGATCTAATGTTGCTGTTACCCATGGAATTGAATTGGATGGAGCAGCGAGGTTTCAGACGAGAAAGCTCGGCCAACAACGCGATATATGCTCACACATAAAATTCGCGGGGATTGGCGTGTACGATGCGCGAATTATGGTTTTCCAGGAAAGGCGTCAGGGTATCAAACCCATTGACATTGTGAAGATCGGCTAGGCTCGCAGCAAGGGGCCCATCCTCTTGAGGCCACCTTATAAGAGTCCAGGGACGGTTTCTCCTACGCTGCTGGAGCACATAGACTGGAAGAATGGCCTTTGTTTTGTGCGCCGTGTGAAAGTCGTAATCGTGATGGTTGATGTCAATAACCATAAAGGTTCGCTCACTCCACACATCAATAGCAAGGAAGTGAACCCGAGAGTCGCGTTCCCACTCGGGAAATATTTCGCTAGCAACGCCGTTTGCCGAGGCACGATAGTCCTGGGAATCAAGAATATTGGTATTCACTTTAATGACAATTCTTTTAGTGTCGTCGCTTCCGAAGATCTCTTTCCGTATATCGAAGAGGTTGGCCATGAGTAATACGCAATTGCAGGTATATGATCGGAGCAAATAGGATGTATTGAACAGATTTCGAGAAAATGGCAAGTTCTGGAAAGGGATGAGAAATTGTGCTTGACTCTAGGAGAGACGCTTCGAAACGATCCTTCTTATTTCTGCAATTAGGCAAAATGATGCTAGTCCGAAACTAGAAAGTTATACCTGAGACAGAGTATAAATGCGACTTACGTGATAAACCAAGGGGTTGTATTGTAAGCCCGTACTATCAAGCGTAACGTTTACTGTTATTTTAGGAAAACACATATGGTCGCGTATATGTTGCCATGCGGAGTGCACTAAATACATGATAGACACCACTCTAGTATCATCCGAACTCATTGTTCCGCTTGATGGACTCCATCAACTGCCCCTTGGTGAATGACAGTTACCTCTCGTAGTAAATTGCCAGAATTAAGGAAAACTGTTTTCCGAGCTGGATGGACTGAGATATGAGTGCTGTGCGCATTTGCCTTGCACCCAGACAATCGTCCAAGCTTGCTGGACCTCGGTCGTAGTTGTTCAACAGTTGCCTCGTTCACACGAACGACCCTTGTCGACACGGTAAGGGCACCCGCAGCCTTGGTAGTACTTGACGTGCCACTCACACATCTACTGAAATATTAGTTTCCTAAAACTATCAAATATCTCAAGCCATAACTAACTTTCACTGGTTCTTCGGATAAAAGTGGTGGGTTGTTTGACTGGCAAGTGTTCTCGTTTTGCGATGCCGCAGTGTGCTCTTCTAGCAGGGTCAGACGGGGGATACCACAGCCTTATATGCCTTTGTGGGTGGGCGATTGGTCTATCGCCTAAGGTTCTGGGGCCCCTGCGCGGGAAATTAAGGAGACATGATCTGTCTCAACTTTCACGAGCTACCGATCTGTACATGAGGTAATACCATTACCCAACAGGTAGGCATCGTAGACGCTTGAGAACCTTCGAAACGACTGGCGAACACACTATATGAGAGGTGGATTGGGCAGCCTTTCCTCGCCCAACGTGAAAATCTGACGCCGCCTGTAGCCAACTAGGCCAGAACATGAGTTTAATATATCCTAAAAATATATCCTAGGAATAGCAGTTAATGTACCGAGTTGCAGCCTTACCTATGTTAGTGAAACGTATTCTACACAATTGCTTAAGAGCTTCACACTGCCATCCGTCCCATCTGCACTGCCATCCAGCTAATGGGGCTAGTCTTGACGGGGTTCGCATTATCTTTCCCCGCTCTGTCGCCCCTATATCCCGTGACTACCAAGCTGTTCTTCAAGTGACTGGTCCGATGCTGATCATTCTGGAGCGTAGGGTTACTCCTATCACCCCTCCATTACTTGGTCGTTTCCCTGCGTCATCACAGCTTTACCTGTTAAAGAACCTACGTCCAATAATATAAGATTGTATTTTAACTTTCAATGTATTGAAGTGGCTTAGACCTCATACTGATTGGGAATGGATAGGAGCAACGGACGGAGAAGCCAAGTGTTACTCCATTCTTGAATGTATCTGACCAACTCGTTTTGCCTAATTGTGTTCGTCGCTCGGGTGTGGGGTGAAGGCTTGTCCAGTGGTCGCGGGTTTGGGATATATTGACAGTGGACAGAGTGGACAGGGTTGGGCAGAGTGGATAGGATGGATAGGGACAGGGATAGACAGGATGGATAGGATGGACAGAGTCATAAATAAGGAGAGGGTGGAGTGTCGCATAATATATGGCCTAGACACAGCCTAGCGCTAATACCCAAAATTGTACTTCTGATTCCGTAACACAAACCATCCCTAGCCCGATCCTCTCCAGCCAATCGTAGCGATTATATTATGCTGATAGGAGACTTTAGAAAACGGTAAACGCTAAACTAGACTCGCGGTTGAGCTACTAAATCCATTGGCTGTTAAATAAGCTCGGCGCCGCGCTAGTGCTAAACTGTGGTGTCTGTGTAAGGGTACTTTATCCAGTCGCATGTAATTGTCTCCCTGGCGGAATACAACCCGTAACGATGCAGGAAAAGCCCTAAGTAATCTGGAGGCTCCTCAATAATCCTAAATACACAGAAGAACCAACATAACTTTAGGATTATTTAACTACCCGGTTCTCATTATGAAGTTATTTTAAAGACCCTTCCCCCCGTCCCTGGTTATTTCATCCTTCCCGTCCTATTTCGACCCACCTATCTTCGGCTCTCTGCGTGTCGCACCGTATCGTGTATACAACCAGTCCAACCCGGCCTGTGTCACTACTGTCCAATATCTACAAGCTGGACTTCAAAAAGAACCACTAATTCGACCACGTTCCTCCCTCTATTCCATCGGTTATCGGCAGCCCATCCTACAGTTCTCACTCGAATCCCCGAAATCACTACAAACTGCATTCTGCATCGCTGTCCTCGAGTCCCGTAAGTAGATCCTTGTGTGAGCCCCCCTTTTCTTTACAGCCGGCTATGTCGGTAAGAGCTTGGTTGATGCCGTGCGCGGGATTACCTTCGTTTGCCCTACACCTCGCGGGGAACGCAGGGAAGGCTTCCCCCGCCTTTGGGGCGGGCCGGTTTCCCGCTACCGACTTTTCGGAGTGGATTAATGCCGCTTGCATTGAATTATCCCGGAAGACAAGAAATAAGAGCATGAGACTGACTACAAGTCGCCAGGATTTGCGCCACGCTTTTCTAGGCCCTCAACGTGCTACTATATAAAACGGACGACTCCAGTCTCTTAACAGATGCTTCTGCGTTTCTTCGTGCCTCTCCAGATTCCGATCTCGATAGTATCTTGATTTTGTTCTTCTTGCTTTCTTGCTTGAGAAGGCTTTCTGATTGAAACTGAAAACCGACTTCGAGACGAACTAGGTCTCCTATTCACCTATACTGTCCTGTGACTAGTATTGGGCATGCCTTCGCGGTATCCTAACGTGGTTTACAGCAAGACCACGTTGGAACTAGCGCCATGAAACGCTCAGCCTCGGCTCTCAATGAGATACCATCCAGGTGGGACGTTACTCCGGTGAACCTATGACTGAGAAGCTCACAGCTGGTGGTTCATTCAAGCTAACATTTGCTAGCCTATGATAGCTCCCACGCGTTCATCTCTACGCCTGCCTTTCGCACACTATGCCATGGTCTACCTGGATGACGAAGGCGTCCTCCAGGTAGAAGAGTCGCCTTCAATCAAAGAGCAAAACTCGACGGTCTTCACACCCGACGTACGCCATCACTTCCTGGAGATTCTGGGTGAGACGAGTAGCTACTACCAGTCGTTTACAAGCCGTATGTTTAGCCTAGTCAAATTTTTAGATGTGCAGTTCTCGCTAACACTCACCAATCAGCCACACTAGAGTCCTCGCCCCGTCGAGTGCGACGTCGCCAGGGGAATGCCCCTAGTTCTTCTGTCTCCAAGGAAAGCTTGAGCAAGCAATCTTTTGACGGTGATGACTACTCACATGGGTCGACTAACATGGCTCCCCTCCGCATTGGTGATACCCAGAAGTTGCTCTCGTACTATAAGGGCGCCCTCAAGCACTTCCGACAGCTCAACTGCCGCATAGTCGCTAAGGCTTTCATCCGGTTCGTCGAGCCGCGCAAGCAGACCCGACACCCTTACAACGGACGCAAGCCCTCGGATGGCTCGGCCCCTGGCGCGACCGGTGACCCTGAGAAGACCAAGCCTGAGTGGTGGCCGCTGGGTGTGATGCACAAGGAGCCTGACCACTTGCGGACAGAGTGTATGTTTCTTCTCTCATTGTTTTAAGAGATTCCTGCTGACCTCAACCTCTTTCGCAAAAAAGCCCGTATTGAACTCCTGCTTCACATCGTGCGTAAGCTTGGCAGCCAAGGGATCACCGCGGACAAGTTGAAGGAAGTCGCTGGCGACACCAAGCGGAGTCTGAAGCACCCATCCAATGTAGAAATCATCTACGAGATCCTCCGGGTGCGAGAGATGGAGGAACGATTCGAGCGAGGCGAAGTTGGTATGTGCACTCCGAAACCCAAAAACTTTGTTCATGAACTAACACACCGCAGATGCCAACAAGGTGGTCTATGTTATGAAACGCGGACCTAGCTCCAAGGATGATGAAGACGAGGAGTCCTCCGATGTAACCCTGGCAACCAAAAAGTCCTACCATATCGAACAGGGACCCTTGACGCCAACCTCAGTCAAGCAAGTTTCTGCACCACGTACCACGCCCATCGACACCCTCAAGCCGGTGACATCTGGTCGCTCTCTTCCGGGTAGCCTCTTGCAGCTAGAGTCGCTCGGCTTTGATGGCACCGGCTGTCAGGACCAGCCTTACTACGCCATGCCCCCGCACTACACAGACTCCTGCTCGCAGCCCATGCTTAGCATACCCGTGGGCACCAAGATGATCAGCCCGCACAACATCTCGGTCTTCGACTACCCAGCCCACAACGCCTTCTGGATCTCCACACCGAACCACCAGCTCACAGAAGCTACCGGCCAGTACGACCCCTGGACCCCGGCCTTCCGCCATAACATCTTCAGTCGTGTCGATTACAGTGTCCCAACAACCAGCCCGCCAGTGGTCCCCTCTTCCATGTCTTACCACATGCCCGTGACTTTGCCTGCTCAGGCGCACGGTATTTAGCACCCCCATGCCCAATCCACTATGGGCCCCCTGAGTTAAAGAGCCCTGCCCCCCTTCCGCACTGGATTCATGGGCGATCCCTGGGCCACCTTTCCGGACTGCCATTGGCCCATCCCGCCCGAAATAGAAACGGAACGAAACAAAGAAATCAAATAGAAAAAAGAAAAAATACTAAAGAAAAATGGAAGTCCAAGGGACAGGCTAGACCTGATTAAACAGGCCGGTTACAACGACATGAATATTTACCAACGGCAATGGGTGTTTATTTCTTTTCTTCACGACTATACACGACCTGATGGTTATAATTAACCCTATAACGTTATTGTCAATGTGTTTGACACCCTGACGCCTTTCCAGGAAAACCACCATTCACGCATAATTTCCTGTATGACCTTTTATCGTGTTGTTAGCGGAGCTTTCTCTTCTGAACCCACGCTGCTCTATCCGATTCAATCCTAGGATAACAGCAACATTAGATAGAAACAGCTAGATTGGGGATTCCACGGGAATGAGATCGAACAAAGGGTAGTTGGTAAGTGCTTTTGGATACTATTTAAATAGTGATATTGTCTCTAGACTGGTATTTGTTAAGGAGGTCGTGACATCTATTTCCCTGATCTCCTAGCAAAACGCGAAATATTGTATTGTATATATCAGCACTATGTTTAATGTTTTTATTTCTTCTGTGAACTCTAATTTACCTTCCAACACGAGAGACAGGCATCGATAATATCCCCAGTGAACCACTTTCCAGGCCCACTCAAACTCTGAAAGGAGAAACAGCCTGTCGACCCCCTCTCTAACTTCACGATAACAAATACGGCTATATATATATCGTTAGTGACAGTAGAATTTGAGTCTGCTTATCGATAAATATTAGGTAAAAGTCTTGTTGAGTAGATATATCGTGCACCCCATCCTTGACTTTTTATCCCTTCCCACGAGTGAGATAATCTGATTCCGAAATAGTCCAGAGTGATAAATTTGGTTGAAATAACAGAAAGTATTATGAGCTATTGAAAACTATAGAGCTCTCTTGTGTTCTCCCCCTTTAAGGACTACTTCTTTGAGTGCTACTTCTTGAGACTCCCCAGCCACTGACGCCCTCGTTGGCTTATATATCTATTTTAGGTGTCGAGGACGCTTAGCTCAGAGAGGTAACACCTTATAAAGTGTAGCAATAAACGGCCTTCTAATTGCACTAATTAACCGGTGGATCTTTTGCTAATTATATCGGGCGACGGTATATCGAGACTAATCTGTATTTCTACGCTAAGGCGTATATACCTTCTGATATGTGGCAATTTGATATTTAGGCCGGGATACAAAATATTAAATAGATAGTTCTGGTTCTAATATAATAGTTCTTTGAGAATTCTGATTCCAGTGACTCTAAAAGCAAGAATCGGTTTAACTTAGATTATATCTAAAGAGACTATTGATGAGTGTGCAAAACCCTTATCAAATTTCAATAAAAAGTCCTATTAAAGAGACCTGCCAGGTTTCTTAATATTAAAAATACTTTTTCTTTAGGTGTGATCGAAATTTTCTAATTTACTCGGTGCAACCACGAAGACGTATATACATATTAGTCCTCGCGTAAATAAGGTCGAAGACCTCTACCCGGCAATTCTGTCGGTATCGGTCGGAAAACGCACCCAAAAAATGTCTGTGCGGCCCAGACGTCTAGTGGTCTTAGCGGGTATTTCCTAGAGAGGCAGATAGAGCCTTAGTATCGGCTGTATGATTGGCCCTGCCCGATACCGAGAGAGTATCGGGCGGTTAATTGGTCGCTGGTGTTCCTAGCTAACCTTTTCCTTTTTTCTTCTCGCTGTCCCTCTCCGCTCTCTCTCTCTCTGTCTGTCTTTACCCCTTCTCTATCTCTATAACCCCCCTTTCTCTATATACAACTCCTAAATTATAAATACTACTATCAAGTCTAGTAACTCAAAAGTAGGGTTTCAGCTAATATAGTCTATAAATCTTAGAACCCTAGTTTTAATACAGAAATAAAAACAATAGAAAATCTTTTACTATTACTACTATAGTGGTATTAATAATTTATATTTATTTATATATAACGTAATCCACAAGCGAGTGGCCCACCATACTAGATATTTCGAATATAAATCGCTATATATTCGCCACAACGCCTTTAAACCCTAAGACCGGTAGGAAAGGTACAGCAGAACAGACAATCATGAGCTGTTCACAAAGCAGATGTTTGTATAATTTTATTTGAGAAGTATTTGACTAAAGTATGAAAAACATTGACCCGAAATTTGGAAAATATAAATAACTTATCCCCGCCAGACATAAAGTTTCCTCCTTATTCCCAAGAAACAGTGCAGAATAGTCTGGCTCCAGTGTCCGTTGGGCCTTTCCCGGTGTAGCTGTTTTCGGAAATACGTAAAGCAACAAAAGAGAGTTGTTCAAACGAAGCTAGTTGTTGTGCCACCCTGCTGCGCTGGAGCAAGCTTGCTTGAACCACTCCTGCAACGACCACAATACGAATGCAGGCATGTAGGCTACGGATGTGACGGACAAATTCGAGGATTGTGTCGCCCGTGTTGATCACGGAATCCACGAGCATCACAGTGACCATGCCCTTCAAAGATTTGACGCAGATATCGTTCACTTTTTGTGCGTGTAGGAACATTGCACTTGGGAATGCTTGACTGACTCCTAGCGCCATTGGTTCTCCGCCACGCATCAATGCGACTATCAATGTTTCCTTCTCACGGAAGAGGCGATGACCGTTGGTTACATAGCCTTGAACATGTTGAAGGGGGTATGATTCTAGGCCGACAATAGCCGTCACATACTCCACGGCTAGATATCGACCAACCTCCTGGTGTGCTTCTCGCAGTCGTGGACCAGAAATAGTTGAGTCACGCATGGGGGTCATGAGTACTTTAGCAGTTGCTTTCTCTGTTGCATGGGATATGTCAATGCGTCGATAACGATTATGTCGCGTGAAAATGGACTGGATAAACTTCGGATCCGTCAAATCGGCAAGAGGAAGCGGCTTGGTGATGATGCGAGGGGAAGCGTGATGCGGCAGAGTAACCTGGCGAGGCTGAAATCCATTTATACCAATCCGATCTTCGAGCTTCTTATCCATGGACTTGCTCCTGGTCGTCTGTTCTCCCGTCACAACAATGGCTTCATCTGCCTCTTGCATCATCTCCAAATCGACAGGGCTATCACCGAAAGACCACGTGTAAGCGTTGTAAGTCTGTCGAAGCCGGAGAACAAGATCCTTCTTGAGGCTGGGTGTGATAATCAATCCGTTCTCAATGCGCCCTCCACCAAAGACTTGCGCCAGCTCCGATAGATTCTCGTTCTGGAGCACAATCTCCCAAATGCGTCCAATCCCACAGGTAACGACAATTGCACAAATGTGCCGGTGTGCTCGAAGCATTGCAAGAAGAGAACTAAACTCTGCATGAAGAGTTATCCGGGATGCAACATGTTGGCAAAGTTCTTCAAAACGTGCATTGTCGGCTACCTCTTCGTTTAACATCGTAGCTTGACTGAACGACGAGTAAGAATAGCCGAGGGGGCCACTGAAAAGATCTTGGAGAGGATTCTTTCTAGAAAACGTTTTCTCAGGATCATTCAATTGCTCCCAAAACATCGCGCCTCCATCGGCTGCAGCGATAGTTTTATCAGCATCCAGAACAAGCACGGTCTCCGGCCGTTCAAGTTGATGCGAGATGAATTGATCCAGGAGCTTCAGAGCATATGAGCGGTTGTATTCTTCAGTGTGGAGATGAAAGGATTTCACGAGGTCGGTAATCTTATCTGCGGCAGATAGATGGCTGGATAGATTTATGAACAGTATCTCGCGATGATAGCACGAGCGACGCAGCTGGTCCCTCTCATATTTTTGCCATCTTGACAGATGATCAATGGATGTCGTCGGTCGGAATCTCTTCTCATCCTCCTGCCGGCGGTTGATGATGACCTCCACAGCTGTATCAAGGTACAAAATATGGGTGTAAGTGGCGAGGTCACTTTCCGTACAGACCACCTGGCCGGTATCCTCATCATCTTTCCAAAACATGAAGTGGCCGGTAACTAAGGCGGTCTTGGAACTGTGCGAACATTCACTGCGTACGCGGAGAATGGCTTCTCGACGCCTTGCATTTTTTTCATGCTCTTCCAGGTGCTGGAAAGCTTTGAGCCCCCCTGGCGTAACAGTGGAGATAACCTCACTCCCCTCGTACAAAGTGAAGAGAGAACGATCAAGGGTTTGTCTGAGATGATCCAAGATGAATGTCTTCCCAGAGCCAGGTAAGCCGTACAACCCAATAACCATTGGTTGCTGGCCACTGGCTTTCTGGTTGTCGGTGCTGTTCTTGTTTTGGTAGGACATATTTAATGGAATGAATCTTAGAAGCAAGACTGTCTGCACTTGCTTTATTTAAGTAAACTTCCTTTTACTGACCCTTAGACTGACCCGGTGAGCTTGTCGGTCTTCTGCCCAATCTTTCCCTGGACTTAGACCGCACTTGCGTATCAGGCCCTCTTTACGATCTGAGGTACTCACAGAATTCCGAACCGATAATTGCCATTTTGGGAGGGAACAGGGAAGGCGTCACGTTGGATCACCGCAGCTAAGGAGACTTGTTAAACATTGAAAGGTAATGATTGCCGTCTGCCGATTAAGCAGGCGGTGGCAATTTTCGGCCTTCCTTATCTTCCAAGGGCTGGTGACTTGTCAAAGGCACTGCTCACAAAATTCCAGTCAAATCAAAAACCCCTCTGAAGATCATGGGGTCTTTTCTAGATAGATTGGTACAATGCTGGATACGAAGGCTCTCTCTCGATCGCCAGCTTTCCAGAGCGTGGCATCGTGCACGCATCCGCGAGGAGCTTCAAGAGAGGCGAATGGCAACCTCTCCCTTACACAAGCTCAGCGAAACTTCAGATGTCTTGTTTTCTATCCACCGGGCCCAACATGACGAAGTCTTTGTGCGGAAATTACCTCTCTCTCTATCATTCCGCCACCTTCCCGTCTGCGTATATATGATCGCGAAGTTCTCTCTACGATGGGGGTTTTTTCGAGCCGCCGCGTTTCTCAGCCAAGAGAAGAACGATCGAGCCTTGTCTGAAGTTATAAATGCTAGCAAAGACCAAAAGTTGGTCCAGGTGGCCGTTCGTCACAGGATGAATCCAAAATTTGTGCGGATTTGTCGTCTGCTGCGACGCTTTTGGCCGCTACTTCCATAAAAAACCACGAACTGCATGGCTTGATATTACGATACAGGCGACAACCTGAAACCGTGTTCAAAATTGCCCTATGTCTGAATGTGGATGGAGAAGATCGGGAATATTTGGGGCAAACCTTCTTACTGCGCTACTCTATATTCTTGATCGCAATTGCACGCTTGATGAAGAAATAAATTGTGACCAATCATCTTTCAATTATTATGTGGCTTTTGGCGGGGTAAGTTTTTAATGAAGATTGGTGTTGGTTGACTCCCTCAAACTCTCCCCCCACCTTTGATTCGAGGATTGATGACAGCCAGTAACTAGAACATGAACGACGTTCAATCAATTTCTCACAAGAGATATTTTTCATGCCTGCCGAACGAACCGTCGATCCGACCTCGATATAGTAATTAAGACAAGTCAATGTCCATAATTCCGAAACGGGATGACCACCAAGTTGCGGTGAAGGCCTGCAGTCCAGCTTGTGTGACAGAGCAAGTATGAATGCGATGTATTTCTAGGGCCTGACAATGGTTTGCAAAACTAAGTCATTCGCTGATATCAATCAACAGTTAGCATTCAGCAGAGTGAAGAGAGCAGTGCTTGGAAATGTGCTTTAAGAGGTAGGAGTGGTGCGGACCAACACGTTATCTGGTGGTCAATAAAAGGAAATCTGACTTGGATATTGACCAATCTTCCCATTCTCTTATAGGTTGGAGGTCCGAAGTTCCCGCGAGATGAATGTTCCATAGAGTCCATGTATCTTTCAAAATGTCGGTGAGGGAGAAATAGACCGTTTAAAGATGCTCTTTGCCACTCTATTTCTTTTCAGAATCCCACGACGTAAACCATTTCTGTTCCCTTACTCTGAACACACTTTGAAATGAACGCCTCGGCAATCGAAAGAGTCCGAACACTTTTTGGAATTCCGGATGTGCCCGCGGATCTCATCCAAGAAGCTATCACTGTTGCCGGGGCCAGTCCGAAATATCCTGATGGTTTCAAGAACCTCTCTCAGCTTGGTGTGACCAGCATCAATGCTTGTGTTCAGGAATTAGGAATCAAAACCTCATCAACCAGAGGTTTGTCACGTCTTTATATAAGGTCCATATTACGCTCACAAAATTCAGAGGTAATTTCCGATGTCATGACCAACTATAATACCATGGAATATCGGGCAGTCGTAGCGAGAAGGAATGGAATCCAGGACTTGATCGAATACGGTAACAATGGAAGGAAGACCGAAAGGAATCTCGCTTTTGCAATAACCGCACTCGTTGCAACTGTCTTTCTGACACAAGAACGAGATTTTTTTCGAAAATCTGTGATCAAATTAGGGTTTGTTCTAGTAAGAGAAATGAGAGTCTGATATTTGCTTAACGCTTCACTTTAGATTCCTCGACGAGGGAAGTGGGCTTCAGCTGCGACAAAAGTATGAGGCCGTTATGCGGGAGCGCTCAGTACCGCGTCCTACTAGTCCACCGTCTGTTACTGCAGCTTCTGTTCAAGACAGGACTACAATGGATGAGCAAAGCCTACTACCGCCCTTCCGGCAAAGCTCCGAGGCCAGCTTCAGTGAAGACACTCGCTTACCAGCGGCCACATCTGAGGCATCGTTGACGAGCGAGTGTAGCAGCTTCGTCCCGTTCAACCTTTCGACCGAAATTGATAGCTTGGACATAGTACATTGCAGTGCGACCCAATCAGGGAACAGTCAAGTTATCACCCAGGCAACTGACCCTGCGCAATGGATGGATTTATTCGACTCTGAACTTTGTCAGGTCTTTGAGGGCCCTCGGAGCATGAATGAAATGTCTCCTCCAGCAGAAAACTGTGCATTTTCTCTTCAAGCAACAGCACTCAGAGAGCCGATAATTTACCAAGACACATGCGCGGTGAATGTCAACGCCGCAATAGCTTTGGTAGAGGAGCAAATGAGTACTGCAGCTTTGAGTGGCACGACGCGCAAAAGAAAAAGTGTTAATGACAATAACGCCCAAAAACCCAAACGCGCGAACACGGTAATCACTGCCAGATGGGTCAGCTCTTTGACAGAAGAGATGGAAAGATGCCAGTTGAAAGATTCCTTCCTTCCGCCGAGCGTCTTTTTCCGAGAAGAAATCGAGTTGCAGTGTTCCAAGTTGGATGGTCGATGGAATGAGATGTTAACCTCAATTTTGGTTCAAATCGCGGACTCAAATTCATTCGCATGTCTTCGGGAAGCAGTCTGTGCTTCCAAGTCGATGGGGTCAAACAATGCCCGAAAGATTTCTACGGACACGTCCGTGGCCGATCGACTCCATATACTGGAAAAGTTGAATGGAGAAAATGTCTACAACTGTTTCTTGGCGCGGTATCACACTCTGGAGCTTTTCAGAGACTGTGGAGGCAATGAGGGGACAGAAGACCTGAGAATTATCCCTTACGCTGCGGACAAAATGGTGACTCATTCCGGCAGGAGGGGCAACCCAACCCGCATTGCTCTCGCAGAAGTCACGGATAGGATGATGACCAGAGAATTCCCGTCCCTGGCTTCTAATACAGTGGAGTATAAACGGAAAAGGGCGGCAATGAAACGACACCGATTGTTAGCAAGCCGTTTCCAGACATTTGTTGATGCGTTTGGTCCCGCAATCCTCTGCTTTATTCAACCTTTTAACGGTCAAATTGCTTCAAATGGAGGAATTTCCGACAATAAGTATGTTATGTAAGGGATCCATTAAATTTCATTGCTAATCACAATCAGAATCCGAGAAATCAACGAAACCAGCTTGAAAGCCTTTGTTGATATCTTAAATCGGTCTCAGGGTGACTATTTAAGAGAAGTCTGTCAAGCTGCCGAACCGTTGCTGCAGTACCTAGTCTATGAAGACTCCACCATAACTGAATTTGCCATTGAGCGTACTGATGTCGATATTCTACAATTGCCCAAGGGCTCCAAGGGGCTATTGCGCCTGCTTAAGGGCACATCAGGGAATGGTGAAATTGATGAAATCTACTAGCAGAAGTCATTTACGTGCAAAAATTGAGATGGAGAATTATCTACGATATCTGAATTGTGAACAGTAGCACCTCCATAGATAGCAAGACTAAGCACTATGGCCTCATGAATGAATTGCGGTTTGAATACCACTCAGATGAAGAGATCCTCAGCTAACGGCACCTAGGTTAAGACCAAGACTCTAAGTGATTTGGCACTTTCCGTCCGCAATTGTCTTGGAACCTTTCAGTATCTTGGTATATCTAGATATCAAATCTTTATATCCGGTAGACTCGTGCCGTAATTTGCGGATTTTGGATGGCAATGCAGTCTAAGAATAAATACGTGATACACTCGAGCGTGGCCAACCCCTCCTTAGCTGTCTTGACATTCACAGGACATAATTACTCTTAAAGGAAGTATTATATCCACTCAAGGGGTTTCTTTCACTCATAGAAAGCTCTGAGGAATAGGGAAGGCGTCAGTTAAAGATAGACCGCCCCTTGCTACTCCCATAAAAAATATATAAACTTCACCACGCGGCCTCTGTAAAATGCTTTCAGACAAATCTCAAAGAAAGCACTCTATCACCCATAACAGACACGTTGAGGCACTATATTGCTACAAGCACCGAAATGGACCATTTTCCGTTGACAGACATGCAGGAAATATCGTATCTCTTTCATCATATCTTCCTCCCTCCAAAGCTCCCGCAGGAAGACGACTACTGTGTCGGCCATGAGGTTCTCCTGATCGATGTGGTGATCGATGCTCTTCATCAATTCAAGCCCTACTTTTCTTCAGTCGAGGCTGAAGTTATTGGACTAGCTTTGACGATGATCACTCGACTGCGACAGGTTCACGGTCCCAAAGGCGAGGTAGATGAAGTGCAGCTTGAAAAGATCCTTAGACAGCTGAAAGAAGAAGGTGAACTGGAATTCAGCCTACATGGTATAGTCAAATAGTTAATAAGTCTCCAGGTGGTTTCCTACCAATTTACGTCCGCGAGCAAAATGCTGCTATCTTGATCAGCAATAAGGACATGAGGACCCATATCGAATGTTTTGAGCTCTCTCCTGTGAATGAAGCGGTGATGACAACGAAGGGTCGACTTCAACGCACATTTCCTGGCCCGACGTTGGCTTTCGATACCCGTGTCTTCAATGAGCCTGACCTGCTTACGATGTTGGCGCAAACCATTTCCCGCATGAGTCAACAGCCCGTTGCAGGTACAAAGCCGAAAGTTCGAAAAGCAAAACGCAAGCACGACGAGGACAGGGATACAACCGATCCGAAAATGGTCATCGACTTTCTCATGGCCACACTTCGACCGCTGTCTATGGACATCACGGACGAACAAATTCTGAAACGCTGTCGTGAAGAAGTAATGTGGCGTGATTGTCGTTTTCCGTGGCGACGGTCAGCTTTATGGCTTCTCATTCGTGTCGCGCTTCAATTGGCTTTTTCCCGTTTATCGGATGGCCGAGGACCGTCTCAGCTGTACAAGTCTTTTATGATATATCTCATGGGCTCCATCATCGACAGAACATCCGAAACAGCCTCTCATGAGATGCTTCACCTTATGGCGGCTAAGGTTGTCCGTCGACTATTGAAACTCGCCTCAGCGGGAGAGCCGGCGTGGTTTGCTCCGATCCAGTCGATTCTTCAGCGGGTGAGTGATAAAACCCAGACTGGGTGGCAGCGTATCGTGGATCAGAACGACTGTCAAATTGATTTTGAGTCTCTCCTGGAATTGAGATTCACAAAAGATACAGAGTGTTCCTTGCCTCAGCTGGATCGCTTCTTACGGAACATGAGCCGAAAAAGCGAGAAAGATCCGTTCGAGTCGTTCCAGCCGTCTTCGCAGCTTATGTCTTTCGAAACCGGAAGGCTGCCGATGGGCTTGGAATCTTGCCGCCCTGAATATATCGTACAGAACCTTTGTGGCTTTGAAGATTGGGTCGAGTCATGTCTGGGAAACTGGATAGAGGATCATCTTGAAGACGCCGCAACATGCACCCAGCTCGGCCGTTTGATTTCCGAATACCACAAAGTGGCGCTGAGGGCATATCTGCACAACCCCGAAGCCATGTCTACTATGCTGCTTACACTATTGGAATTGTGGATTTCCTGCGACAAGTCAGCCATTCGCTTGCACCCACACTTGAAAGACTATGATCCCTGCATACCCACGGACTGCTTCTACTCCCTCCTACTCCCGTTCAAATCACAAATGATGCGACTTGCCCGTGCGGAGGAGTATCTCGATAAACGTCAGAGACAGGTTCTAAACCCGGGGCCTGGGATTTTCCATGATTTTGGAACCCGGTCTTGCTTCTCGGTTCGGTATTTCGATCAATCTGATGAGCACCAACAGTTACTTCAAACCATCGAAGAGCAGGCCAGCCACGCCAGGAACCAAAAAAGAGCCGAACTGGCAGAGAAACACGCACGTTATATTCACTTGATGACTTTGGCGTCTAAGACCGAATGCCAGTCCGAGGATGTGCTCCTGGATCGAAGGTTTGGTTTCCGCGAGTCGCGGCATAGCCATTCCTGCCCATGCCATGGCTATAAATCACGGGCAAAGTCAATCACGATTGACATTCATGAATGGCCGTTGCCGACCAATCCTCAACAAGCAAAGTCCACTGTCTTCGAGCTGCGGGTCCCAGAGCCATTCGGTGGGTGGAGAGACACCACGCTGTACGTGCTTCACAATTGCTTAGGTGTTGCATATTCCAAAATTGAGAAACCGAGGTCCGAGTATCGACTGAAGAAATATCAAGGGCTCTCCTCATTTTTCTCTTGCCCGACTGACTCCCAGCGGCTCTGCCTTCTATCGCAAATTAAACCTCATGAGAAGACCCATCGCCGCAAGAGATTAATCATCCATGTCGCAGAAGATGATGTTTGCTTGAATAATGGTTTACATTTCCAGTACTTTGACAACACTGCAGGATGCTTTGTGAGCACTTTTGAGAGGAAAGAGGAGACCGAAATCAGGTGTACCTATCAGCTGCCGCAAAGGAGCTCCACGCTGCAAAAATTCCTGTTTCGTCCAGCCAGTAAACCACACGGTCCGTCGCCGAATACCGTGATTGCGACCCAGAATGCCACACCTGTGGAAATGTCACTGGCGGAGTACAAAGCACTCGCAGCGATGCCACTTGGCCTGGAGATTCAATGGCAAAACATTCTTTTGGAATTGTCAATGCCTTCAATTGATATGAAAAAGGTGGAGTCCGCAATATTCATCCGTCAGATTGTCAACCAAGCGGGCCTGCCCAGCAAAGACACGTGGATGAGACGAGGCCATGCGATCTTGCGTAAACCGGATTTCACAGCGAGGTTGTTCTCCTCTATCAGCGAGGCAGCGGAGAGGATGAAAGAGAACTGGAACCTGATCCATGGATACCACACGCTCATACATCTCCTTCTCCGAATACTCAGTCTGTCACCCTGTGAAACGGACCGTCGAAGATGTCTCGGTCTTCTGAGCTCAATGCGCCGAAACGCTTTTCAATGGGTCGAAACCGTCAGAACAACGGCCAGTCAAGAGATTGACGACTCACGCAAGGTTGACCTGGTTGCGAAAGCGGTCTATATCGCTCTGGTCTGTGTTCAAACATTTGATACCGAAACCCATTCGCAGAGCTTTGCATTGCTGTCAGATGTTTCGATGTTTCTGCGGTGCTGCATGATCATCTGGAATGGACGTGACTCTTTGCCCTTGGAAGTGGGCTCCCTGCAGCGCATATTGTACTATCGCTGGCAAGTTTTGTGCTATCACAGCCGTGCAGTATTAGCCGAGAAATGTTCCAATACTTCCCCTTCCCCAATGGACACTGCCATTTTGGGAGCGTGGGCGGCATACCCAGCTGGTTCTATATGGTCAGAGGTATCTCCATCTGTGGAATATTGGCTTCACTCCGCATGTTCCGAACCGACTGAAGAGTGTGTCCGAATGCAGGTACACTATAACCTGCTGACGGGAGAACTTCTTGTCAACGGACTTCCACTCGCGCATCTGCCGGCTGAATATATGTCAAATCAGGCATATCGTATCCTATTTGGGGAAAGATCGCAATTGGAAGTGATGCCAAGTGACCAGCCTGGAATGGAATTTTCGTGCCGAGCGGAATGCTGCGGTCATACGGTCCATTTGGGCATAACCCCCGTCCCCGAATCACCAGGATTCGACTTGTCCGTCAAAGCGGTGAGAGGTGACCAAGCGTGGGTTCTTGTGCCACAGAGACTCTTCTCTGGACATTTCCCTGATGATTTCGTTCGAAATTATACCCACTGGTACGCCATCGACAGAGGGTACATTGAATTCAGACCTTTGTCATCCCCGTGGGTATCATCCGAGCACCATTGGAGATTGCGCGAAGGGGATTCGGACAATTCATGGCGTCTGGAGAATCAGGAATATCAACTGGTCGGCAGCAGAAGCACGACCGCGGATACCTTGGCTAGGATCTTCAACCCCTTGGAAAAGCCTTCCGAAATACATGGCCGGCTCAACAAAGTCAAATCCACGTTGCATATAGACCTTCCGCGTTTGCGATTGGAGTTCGTCCTCCCGGAGCGCTCCACGTCAGTTCAATGTCGACAGTATCCGGGAATGATCATTGATGCGAAACAAGCATGCAATACGCTAGTCGGACTTCACAGTAAATTGATCCTTGTCAACACTGATTCTTTTCAGCGCATCATTCTCATACCTGAAGGCGATGTTGCTTGGTCAAAGGCCGGCGATCATGTTCAAGTCAACGTGCTATGCGAGGCTCAATGGCATGCATATTCCATTGATGAGCGGCTTGGGCGTTTGGTAGATAACGGAAGCTTACAGAGCAAGCTGTTCCTTACTTATTTGCATGCCACCACTTCATACTTCCTTCCAGATCCATTGACCAGACGGACCGGCACCGAGCAGGCCCTTTCCATCCTGCGTTCCGCATCCGTCCGATCATTCGATCGACTCCGACCAGAGAACGTCGCGATCCTCACCAGAATCGCTGCCCTGACCCCACAGAGAAGATTCTATCCAGATAATGAGCAGGTGATGCAGAGTGTGGAGTGGAGGCACGCTCTCGGCTGCTTGTCACAACACCCAGGGTTTCACGAAGAGGTAGCAGCCATTCGGGATCAAAACTCACGCGTCGTCTTTTACTACCCTGGAGAAGAACCTGCCACGCCTTCTCTTCCAAAGGCTGACCAACATCTGTTACTCCGTGATAAAATCCGCACTTCCTCGTTCCGGGTTTCTCAATTTGGCTCAGAGGATCACACAGGGAAGCACGACCGACATTACGCAAGTCGTGACGCCAATCGCTCGTCCCCAAACAGCACTCGAGCGTTTACAATCAGCAAGATGCTATGCGGCAAGATATCTCGCACGCGAAATCTTGAATCGGGGAATTGGCTCTCCCACATCTGGAAGTTTCTTTCCACTTCGTGTGAAATACGTGGCCCTGGGGCTCAGGTGGAGAGCGCGAAGTTGCGATATAGCGCAGAGTGGATACTTACCTCCCGAGACTTTATTGTTGAGAATTGGTGTGCAATACACCAATTGGTTTCATCACGAAATTGTCGCTTCAACAAGTACCAACTCCTAATCTGGTTGTCAACCATCGCCTACTCGTCCCAGGCCGATATGATTGTTGTCGAGACTATTGCATCACTGTACTTGAATCCAGAAATCATGTGCGAGTATACAGCCATACAAGGACAATTTCAACCCGAGAAAGGTTTTGAATGGGACCGAGGGAAAATTCAGACCCTCATACAATCTGCACAGCTTGATTCAACACCAGAAGATAGACTTGAACCTTTTCCCTACGAGACTTATAGCAGTTTTGGATCACGCATCAAGAAGCTACGGAAACAGAATCGGACACTCGCCTGCAAAACTGCGTCGGATCATTTTTCCCGTCAGTGGCCTACACACTCGCCGTCGCGTCCTGCCTCACAAGAAGCTGTGAACTTGGATGAGTACCTGAACATTTACAAGATCATGTCCATGGTGACAGACAGGTTCTGTATTTGGGTTGATAACGGTCAGCTTCGGCAATGCCTGACTAGCATGATAAACCGGCTATGTGCACATCCAGTCAAAGCTATCCAGCCGCCGCCCTATCCGGAGCTGTCTCATCCACAGCCGGCTCAACCACGGCGAGGGGACATCTCTTTTGATGACTTGATGACGGTATCTCCACTGCCTGATATACAGGAGCCCCTGTTGGCGGATCTTCTCCGGGAGAGCTCAAATGAAATTGACCCGACCGGTGATCTTAGGAGTCTGATTGACTCAATGGGTAGCTACGCCAGTTCTCCGTATGAAGAATGGTACGTGAAAATGTTAAGAGATAGTGTCACATCGCTGGCATGCACCAAAAGCCGAAACCAGTTCACGGTTGCCTGTGGCGATCTCGAACGGTCTGTCGGCACCTACCTCAATTCGTGTGAGAGGTATGTCCAGGATGTTTATACAGCTCTCATATCGAGGCTACTGCCACCTGGTCCAATAGACGGGTCACCGACATCCAGCACTTTCAAAAAAAACGTTTCCGCCCTGGCTTTCAGGGTTCACCACGCCCCAAGATTGTCACCTATTCTCCTGTTGGAGCAGCTAAGCCGGCATCGGTGGCCACAATTAGCCATTCTGTGGCGGAAGTGTTTCATACTCTACGGTCGTTCCATCACAATGCTCCAGCGAGCGGAGCGACTTTGCCGTCTCGTCCGCAGTCCCGAGGATTTTCTCAAAGAGATCCGCAACCCGGGCCATACCAATTGGGATCCATTTGAAAAACCAGAGAATCTTCTTTTAGAGATCGAAAGTGGTATTTATATTCGAGCGAACCAGGAAAATATTGCCCGAACAATGACGTGGTCCACCCGAGGGCAGAATATCGTGCTGCAATTGAACATGGGGGACGGAAAATCATCGGTGGTGGTGCCTATTGTCGCCGCGGCGCATGCCAATGGCCGATGCATTGTCAGAGTTCTGACCCCAAAGCCCCAATCGCGACAGATGCATCAAATGCTGGTTGGAAAGCTGGGCGGCGTCCTGGATCGTCGAGTTTATCAGCTTCCATTCTCGCGGTTATTGAATCTTGGGGAGGCTGAAGTGGATGAAATTCAGCGCATGTGTCACGAGTGCATGTCGAATGGCGGCGTCTTGCTTGTGCAACCGGAGCATATCCTGTCGTTTAAGCTAATGTGCCTTGAATGCTTCATTACCGGGAAGCCCGTGGTAGGGCGCTCGCTGCTCCGAACCCTGAACTTCTTTCGCGAGTATGCATGTGACATTATCGATGAGAGTGATGAAACTTTCAACGCCAAGTTCGAGTTGATATATTCCATGGGAGCTCAGCGCCCTGTTGAGCTCAGCCCGCAGCGATGGGTCCTCATTCAGGAACTGTTGCATTTGGTAAAAGTACACGCCAGCCAAGTGAAGGTCGATCTACCAGACTCCATTGAGGTTATTCAGCAAGAGAATGGGGGTTTTCCACGAATCCGCGTGTTAGACTGCGATGCTGAACATGCGCTGCTCCAACGAATCGCGACTCATATCTGTGAGAACGGAATTGGCCCTCTGCCCATTGCCCGACAACCTCGCGTGGTCCGACAGGCGGTTTTGATCTATATCCTGAAACCGGAACCCACCGCTGACGAGATATCCGCGGTAGAGTCCGACAGTGGGACAGGCTTTTGGGACGAAAGCATCCAGAGTCACCTCCTGCTCGTCCGGGGCCTGCTCGCAGGAGGGGTGTTGGCATTTTGTCTGGGGCGAAAGCGTTGGCGTGTCAACTACGGGCCCGATTCGCACCGAGACCCACCGACTCGGCTTGCGGTACCGTATCGCGCCAAAGACAGCCCTTCACTGCGCTCGGAATTCAGTCATCCCGACGTCGTCATCCTCCTCACCTGCCTTCAGTATTACTACAGTGGACTCACCAACGATGAGATCTCCCTTGCCTTCGATCATCTGGCCAAATCTGATGAAGCAGAGGCAGAGTACCAAGCCTGGGCACAGGGTGCACCAATGCTCGATCCAGACTTTCGGCAATTAGTCAGTGTCAACCTAGATGATGAGCATCTTTGCGCGAGCCGAATATTCCCTCCACTTCGGGCCTCGAAAGCTACAGTGGACTATTTCCTCGCTCAGATAGTGTTTCCTAAAGAGATGAAAGAGTTTGCAGACAAATTATCCGCGTCAGGCTGGGATACGGGGGAGTTGAGAACGAACCCCACCGTCGGTTTCAGTGGAACAAACGACTCGCGGAAAACCCTGCCTCTGGCCGTCAATCAGCTCGACCTTCCGGAGCAAAATCATACAAATGCCTTGATCTTGGAATATCTACTGAGGCGAGAGAACTCGGTGGTGGACATCCCCACAGGTCATCGATCAGCTCAATCGGATGCTTATGTGTTATTGGAATTGGTGACGAAGCTGGCTCCGCCCACAAGGGTGATTCTCGACGTGGGTGCGCAAATATTAGAGCTAACCAACCTGGAGGTGGCAAGGCAGTGGTTATCCATTTCTCAGAATGACCAGATCCAAGGCGCGATCTTCGTCAATGACCAGGACAACATTTGCGTGGTGGACACGAAGGGTCGAGTGGAGCTTCTACAGACCTCTCCGTTTGCGTTTCAGATGGAAGCTTGCTTAGTCTTCTTGGATGAGGCACATACGCGAGGCATAGATCTCAAGCTGCCGGTGGATTATCGTGCGGCGGTTACCCTGGGCCCGGGTATCACTAAGGACAAGTTGGTTCAAGGTTCGAACTCCTTCCCTTTTGTATGGTTCCGAAAACATGCAAGCCCTAACGCCGCATAGCCTGTATGAGGATGAGAAAACTTAGCTACGGTCAGTCGGTCATTTTTTGCATTCCTTGCGAGATCAAGCGCCAAATCCTCTCCTTGAGGAAACGGGACAAGACCTCGGACATTGAAGTGTCCGACGTCTTGCAATGGGCGATCTTAGAGACGTGGAAAGACATACGACGCAGCATGCCGCTCTGGGCCGTTCAAGGTTGCCGCTTTGCGAAGCAAAAGAGAAAATGGCAGGACTACCAAATGCACGACGGCGTCGGTTTGGCCCCGGAACAGGCTCAAACATTCCTCGAACCAGAATATCAGACCCTCGAGCAGAGGTACAGACCGTCTCATAACACCGTGCAAACTGTGGATGAAAATATCGAGGTTTTCGAGGCCATCCACGAGCGCTGTGGTGAATTTGGTGGCCTAGCCTTGTCCGCTTCCCTCGATGAGGAACAAGAGCGCGAGCTTGCACCAGAAATCCAAACCGAACGCGAAGATCAGCGCCCGCCCGCGGCACAGCCTGCCGCGCACCGTATCGACAATGATGTGGTTTCATTCATTGAATCAGGCATGATTCTGCAATCTTCTAACGCCTACCAACCCGCCTTCATCACTTTGCATAATCTATCTGCCGCATCGCAGATAGACCTGAGTCGATTTCACTCGAATCTGTTGGCAACTACTGATTTTACCAATACTGTTCAATATCCAGAAGGTTCTTCATTTGTCGCCGATGCTTACCAACGATCTGTGCGATTCATTCTGTCCACTGCTCCTTCTTTTCCACGGAAAGGAGATAGCCTGATGTACATGATGATCATCAGCCCGTACGAGGCAAACGTGTTGATGCCAGCGATTGAAGAATCAAAAGCGGTTGCACTTCACGTGTATGCTCCTCGCCAAAATCGGGATTTCGCACCTCTCGACACGCTTACGCTCTATACCACCCCTGCGGTCCTCGACATGGGCCCTATCCCCGGCCTCCTCCGGATGCAGCTAAATCTCTTTGCAGGCCAGCTATACCTTGAGTCTTATGGCGATTACCAGGAGCTTTGTACTTTCTTAGGCGTGGCATCAGCCCCAACACCAGCCGGTTTGTCGGTTGCGGCAGACGGTTTCATCCACAAGAATTCGAATGGAACCTTCCCTCGAAGCCCTCTGAAGTTCATCAAGTTTTTGCTGTCCCAGATTCGGAAGGACTGCCGAGATATCCGAAGGACCCATTTAGGACTGATCGTGGATGGTCAATTGTTAACCCGTTCGGATCTGGAAGAATCTGCCCTCGCTATTACAGAACGGGGTATCCGGGCGCTGCAGCTCCCATCCACATAAACTGGCTATGTCAGCGGTGATAGTATGACAGCAGCATTAGTTGCAGGGGCTAGAACTGAGGTGGTAGTGCCGGTATGGTTCAATTCTGAAGGGAGCTAGCCAATCAGCCCGTGGGCCCTGACTCACCCGTGACGAGGACCTCCGTCAAAAGAATGAGTTATGGGGACAACATCGTAAAAACGATTAGACTGAGTGATCACTTTCTTGCCTCATGATATTCGTTCGTTCTCCCAATCAATCAAATCTATCATCTTTAATCACTAGTCCGTACTGCAGACATGTTTTGAGTGGGATGCTATTAATGCACACATGGGTGATGTTAGACAATTTGCCTTAAATCGAATCTCCTCACTATTCTCTCGCTATTCCACCCTACCAATCGAGTCTGGAACCCGCTTTTTTGATTATTTTGATTGTTTTGACTATTTTGACTATTTTGACTATTCTGCCAATGTGTCAAACCCCCAGTTGCCCCCTTTTTTCATCTTTTTAGATGAATATCAGGTTTTGATCTACGCGCAGTGCCAGCATGCGATTGGGCCTACCCAGGCAGATAGGCACCTTCGCTATCATCTCAACGCTGCCACCCCTGAGCGAAAGGCCTACCAGGCCTCGCTTTGCCAGTTGCCTCTTATTTCGCTTACGGGGGTCTATCGGGGTATTCAGGCTAGGCAGCCAGTCCCCCCCCTCGCAGGTCTATCGCCCCCTCAATCGGGGGTTCGCTGCCAAATCGATAGCTGCCCCGCTATTCTCTCTAACCAAAACCAAGCGAGAGATCATCTTACCCGTAAGCACCGAATCTTCGCTTTGGGGCGCGGGGGGGTCCTTACTCGCTGCTACTACCAGGCCTTGCAGAAGAATACATACCTATTCGAGACCCAGTCTACCCCGGTCCCCGCCCCTGTCCCCGGTACGCAGCCGCCTATTCACCCCCCGCCGCCTCGCCTCGCGCGCCCCCAAATCGACGAAATCGCCGCCGCCTATCGCAGATCTCCCGGGTAGCCCGATGCACCCTCAACTCCTTTACCGCCGAGGGGACGATCAGGCCTACCAAGGCCCCGCAGCAGGGGTCGACCATCCAACGATATGCGAGAGTCTTTCGCAGTTTAGTGATCTTTCTACTTACCTCTTACCCGTATCTTCGGGAGGGGGTCCCCCGGGAGACGCCTGCTTCGGTGAAGGGTCTCTATACCCTCGGGAGTAATCATACCGAGAGGCTCGACGAAATCGCTGGTTTTCTTACCCGCCTCGCTAAGCAAGAGGCCCCTACGCAGGCGCCTCGCCAGGAGGGTAATCACCCCCCCGAGTGGGACCCGAGGGTGATCAACCCCGAGGACCCCGATGATGAAGAGATCCTCGGGGACGAGGCCCCTAGTGATAATGAAGATACCCCTACCGAGCAGCGCGAGAGAGAGTACCGGGAAGGCCTCGCCCCCTACCAGAATCGGGGGTATGCCTATACCGATATCCTTACCGGGGCTCGCTTACTCGCCGGCCTCTTTTTGGACCTCGCCTGCGTATCGACTTCGGAGGGGTATAATAACCCTCTCTATACCTTTCTGGCCTGCCTCGCATTCGACTATCGCCGGGGTGTCTTCAAAGAGTTGAACCAGATCACCCAGCTCTATGCAGCTATCATCAAGGGGTATCAATTTACCCTGCTGCATATCGAATATCAGCGGGGTCTTGATGAGGTATGTTGATATTCTATATTTTTGATATATCTGATATATTTGATATATCTGATATATTTGATATATCTGATATATTTGATATATCTGATATATTTGATATATCTGCCTACTGCTTTGCCTACTATTTTATCTACTACCTATTTTGCTTGCCTCTTTGTTTACTATTTTGTTTGCTTTTATCTTGCTCTCACTTTGCTCTTACCTTGCTCTCACCTTACCTTTACTAATTATATCAATATAGACCCCCCCGAACCAATCTCAGAGAGATTGGGGACCTGGATGAAGAAGTGGTTCTGGAACCAATCGGAAGCCCCCTAGGCGATATACTCGCCCTCAGGGTCTATGCTAGGGCAGTTGCTAGCAATACGAGCAACCGAGGGCATGAAATCACCCAATACCCTAATAATGATATAGGGATTTGGGGGATTCGCCTTGGTCAAACTGACCTATAGGTCTTTTTTCGTCGATTTATTATTAATCTGACCAATCGGCTTGCTCAGGATCTCTGCTTTGGATTCGATATTTTTCATCATCTCTCTTGCCAGATCGATATTCAGAGATATTCGAAAACTGAAGATTTCACGGAGATCTCGAAAGGATTCAGTTTTTTGACCCGAATCGACCCTTCGTATCGATTTGACGGGTTCCTCATCAAGCATATGCTAGAGCATCATCAAAGCGAGTGGCTACTCGCCCAACCAAGGTATGATATATTTTGATATCCTTTTTGATATATTTTGATATATTTTGATATATTCTGATATATTCTGATATATCATACTAATATATATCGATTCTAGCAACCCCCGGCAAGCCTACCAGCTGAATCATGCGAGAGCAAGCAACTACCTCACCAAGGTAGAGGCCTTTCTCACTGACCTACTGGTCCTTATTCATATGGCTAGTGGGGCCCCAGCGAGGGGCACTGAGATCAGCCAGCTGCAATTCATGAATTCTGCCACTAGCACTCGCACCCTTTTCTTGGACCCTAGCAGTTGCCAGTTTCTGATTCGATTGAAATATGGGAAGACCTTCTCCTATACCAATATCGAACAGAATGCGGTTCGCGCCCTACCCAACTGCCTATCTTACCTCCTACTATTTTACCTAGTAGTAGTTCTACCCTTTCGTCGATATTTGATTAATCAGATTCACCCTGATATATCGAAATTTCGCCCCGAATTGGTATTTTGGCTTCGCTATTCGCCAGTTTCGTCAAGCCAGTTGGCAGCGCGGATGAAGATGCAGACGAACCGATATCTCGAGCAATCGATTGGCCTTGCCAACTGGCGCCAGATCGCGCAGGGTTTCATCCGATATACTCTGAATGAAGAGATATTGGATGATCCTAGTGATGATGATAATCTAGGGTCAAACGAAGGCCTTGGGGCCAGCCAGATGCATCATTCGCAGCGAACCGGCTTGTTGGTATATGGCAGACACTCGCAGCAGCTGGCAAACCTCACTAGCACCGTTCAATCTCGCTATATCGCCTTCAGCCAGCGTTGGCATGCATTCATCGGTTTAGGGGTCGATTTTACCCAGTTTGGGGATATCTACCCTACTATCCCCCTACCTATCAGCGAGGGGGGTAGGCGAGAAGGGGGGCGAGAGAAGGGTATGCGAGAGGTAGGTTGATATTCATGATATTCATGATATTTTTGATATTTTTGATATTTTTGATCTTTTTGATATTTTTGATACTAATTCATGCAAATAGAGAGAGACTCTGGTATGCTACCTGGGCAACCAGTCCTACGAGCAAGACTCCGGGGACCTAGTCCGCCTACGCAGCAGCTATCAACCGGTCAATTCAACGACTATTTAGCACTGCATACGGGGACCCCGACCCCGACTAGCTTAGGCACCCAGGCCTATTCTAGTGAGGATTTCGACGCTGCCCACCTACTAAAACAGTATGGTTTGGCAGCCCCTACCCAGCATCAGCAGGGGGATCTTCTGTTGGCACTACTTCGGGAGTTCTTAGGTACGTCCTCGCTCCCTACTCGATATATATCATAATATATATATATATATATCTACTATAGTATTCGATATATATCATGCTATTTCGATCTATATTGGTATATTTGCTAATATCCTAATCCTAATATTCTAGGTAATTCAGCAGTGGAATTCAAGCAGCCTGAGCAGCGAGATGCTCTGTTTCGCCTACTAGTGAGGAGGGACCCTACCCTACTGCTTATACTCCCAACCGGGGGAGGCAAATCTACCCTTTTTCTACTGGCTGCCTCGCTTGCTATTAGCAGAACTACTATCCTAGTAGTTCCCCTAGTGGCTCTCAAGGCAGACCTAATAGAGAAAGCGAGGGTTCTTGGGCTACCCTTCACTATTTGGGAGGACCTAGACCCTAGTGAGATAATAAGGTCTACCCCCAACCTTACCTTGATCTCACTAGAGAATGCTGCCAAACCCTTCTTTTTAGACCTTATTCGCCAGATAAGGTCTAGAATCGATAGGGTTATCGTTGACGAGGCGCATATTATTCATCTCGCTCGCGATTATCGTCATACCTGCTACCAGTTGACGCAGCTAGCCTCACTGGAGATCCCCCTAGTGCTCGCTACTGCCACGATGACCCCCGAGACCCTTAGTGGTATTCAGACGAATCTATTAGTCTCTCGCTACTATACAGTTCGCGCAGAGATTAATCGGTCTGATATTATCTATAAGGTCAAAAAGGCCCCCCCGACCAAAAAGACAGAGAGATCTCGCAGATCCCCGGTCCTATTTTAGGGCTCGCTGCTTTGAATTTATCGAGAGATTCTATACCCGCAAGACCGATGAGAGAATTGGTAAGTCTACTATATTTCTGATATTTCTGATATATCTGATATTTATATTTATGATATTTTTGATATATTCTGATATATATATATATATATATATATACTAATATCGATATAGGGAAGCAGGCAATCATCTACTGCCTTAGTAAGCGAGATGTTGAGAGCTTCGGTGAATGCTATTCGGACCGGGTTAGTATCTATCATGCAGACCTACCAGACCCTATCAAGGAACGCCACCTAGGGGACTTCACTAGCCAGCGAAGGCCTATCTTAGTGGCGACCTCTGCTATCGGGGCAGGGTTCGACTTCGCCAATATTGGCCTCGTGATCCACTTTGGTGGGAGCTGGTCGATATCCGATTTCATGCAGGGGACTGGCCGGTTGGCACGCAGCCCTCAATCTATAGGGTATTCCTATATCCTACTCGATGATAGGGGGACCCTCCCTACCAATTCTAACCCTACTAGCGAATTAGGGGGTATTCATGAATATATTC